AAAAATTCACAAAAAGTCAAGTAATTCCAAATGACGCTTGAAATTTTGGCGCATCATTCTGGTAGGCCTCCTCTCTCGCAGTAATCCATCACTAATTGGTTATTTGGCAACAGTCCATAACACGCTGACCATGAGACATCAGTGTTGTCCCCCCAGTAGTGAAGCTAAAAGGCTGAGTTAGTGAGCCCTTTAAATTTTATCTTGATATCCATTTCACACAGTTGTGCCATCCATTGTGCAGTAGAATTAGTCTGTAAAGTGTTTTTAAGTGTTTACAAATTATTCATTGATTTTTTATATTTTACTTACAGTATTAAAAATTTTTACCGTCGTGTGTAAAATGTGCCATAATGCCCTGGGCTGTTTGTAAAAGTGATGAAAACTGTTGTGAAGTGTTTATAAAGTGGTTCCTGTTGTATTTCAGGATATTTCAATTCTTATATCCGGTAGTAACATTCAACCCCGATAAAATTATTGCCAAAATGTATAATGTGTAGTATGTTACAATCCACTATGTATAACAGAACAATACACAATGTCTGGATGGAATTGTTTTTTGTAGAATTACTTACAGCTAAACTGTATATGTAAGCAAAATTCTAAAACCACCATAACGAATACTAACCATTAAAATAATAAAACAAAGAAAAATATATTAAAATAATGGCAAAACTAAAGAGTGAAATTAAGAAGAAAAAAAATTAGAAATTATTATTTTTTTAATTTACCAGCCTTATTATTACTCATATCTCTTTTTTATTTCCTTTTTTTCCACCAATAAACAAGTGTAAAAATATTATTAACACTTGTTGTTCATACTCGGTTGTTTGTTGGCCAAAATACAAGTTGATTGTATTGAAAACTGTAGTGCATGACTTCACATCGTCAAAATTAGTATTTTATTTTGTTCACATTTCCTGTTTCTTGTGAAAGAGCAATCAGTTGTATGTATAATATAGTTTGTTTTATATAAAAAAAACGAGATTGCCAAAAAAATAGATACAGCAGCATGGCTTTTCCATGCAAGGTCACAAATAGCCCACGTATTGGAGGGGTACTTGTTATAAATAAGGCGGTGTGCGAGTGTTAAGTGTTTATTTTTTGTTATTAAAATGCAGATGTTTCCCATTGGTTTAGAAATTATAATTATCCACTTAAATATATACAGATCTCTTATATTTAAAGATAAGGATTGGCTCAAGTAACTTGGGCGACTCATCACTGTGGTTATGTAAGACAAATTTTGTGTTCAACTTTTGCTTTTGACCTGACCACAGTGCAGTATTTTGAATTAAGAGTATCAACCCATAAAGGTAAATTAAACTAGGTTGGTAGCTTTATGTACCTGACACAATCCAATAATTATAACCTCAAGACTCTGGAATGACAGGATTGCACCCTTTTTGGATTTTATATACTGTACTGGTACAGTATATAAAATGCACACAGCATTTGCTAATGTTAGAGCAGTAACCCTCCCCTTAGACTCTGATATCATATGCCACCTTCTTTGTGCCAGCAAGCAAGTTACAAGACAAACACCAGTCTCATCTGCACTAAAACATTTTTCAGAACTTAAGCCCTTCACTAGCTTGGAATATTCAGTCGCATATAGTTAAACAGCCTCACTGCTGCCATATATATGCCCACCACTAGTCTTCATATGACAAATGCCATGTCTATGCTTAAACCTTTGCAATGAGCCTTGAGAATAAAAACACTTTGCTATAATTTTTAAGTCATCCTGAAACTTGATTTTTTTCTATAAGCATTGGTCCAAAAATAGGAACACTTTCTCTGTCATTGGCAAAACTACTCCTGCATTTTTTATGCTCTGCAGACAAATTCTGAATTTAAAACATTTGGCTCTTGGAGGTTTCTCTAAGCTAAATAAAATTCTAAAGTTCGACAACCAGCAGGAGAGGGTTAATCGAGATAGGGTTTAACCCTTTGGCTATTGGAAGTTTCTCTAAGCAGAATAAAAACAACTGACAGTAGCCAGAATAATTGGAATCTTATGTGGATAACTGAAGGTGCCATTTTTTTTTTTTTTTTTTAGATTCTCAAGGTTGTACAATACTTTATTACATTATTTGCAAATAATTGAATAAATGGCTAATAATATATATCAAACTGTAAAGCATAAGCTATTTTTTGTGATTCTCATCAAGCTTGTGCTTGAACTTTGTATTATACAGGGTATTAAATAATTTATTTATGAGAAGACAAAAGGTTGGCTTACTAATAGAGTAAATTTCTGACTGTGATTATCTGTGATGGTAAGCAAATCATTAAAAGCAGCCATTTTCCAAACTTGCATGGTAGCTCTGGTTGTGAAAGTATGCCAGTTAGTAGTTGCATGCTGAATGTTTTTTTGTTTTCCCTCATTTTCAGCTCACACCACAGTGGAGCCTCACCTGTAGCTGGCCATGTAGCATCAGGTGGGTTGACCTATGCCATAAAGCTCACCCAAGACTGAGCTAAAAGCTAATGCTTTAGTATGTGTTTTTTTGCTTTTTTCTAATCACAATTTTTACATTCATTAAAGTGACTTATATACTAAGTTTACATGTGTCAGTTCACAGAACTAAGATTAAGGCAAAAGCTTCAAGCAACACTTAGTAGTGTATCACCTGTAGTTCAAGCTCCTAAAACAAAGTGAAATGATATTGTCATTGCATTATTGGCTCCATTGCTGAAAGCCAAACATTTCCTGTCATTTTTTTTACTCCATTCTTTAAATACAAATGGTAAATTACATTCATGTCTTTGGCAGATTAAAATTATTTGAATCCTAAGAAATAGTAAATGATTTTTTGGGGTACCAGAAAGTCTTGATAATGTAAAATGCATTTTGTCTATATGGTGTGACTTTTTCCACTTTCTGTTTTATGCTCTTTTTAACTTAAAACTAAATGGAATGGAACAGTTGCACCAAGTCTCAATGAATAGTTAAATGAATTCCTTATACAGCATCAGTGAACGAATACATCCTCTCATATACAATAAATTTAATGCTTCATTACAGTTCACCTTGTCACTTAAACTATGCTATTTTTTTTTACTCTTAATCTTATTTGCTTTTTCATTTGCAAATATCAGTGGTAAGTATCATAATATATTAAGTCGCAGTAAACATGACTAATTTATTTATTATGTTTGGAGTTAGTTATGTACTTTTACTAAAACACAATAGACATTCTAGGAAAAGAGGACCCACACAGCAGATAGTCAATACAGTATCAGTAACATTCCCTGTGCCTTTGTGGCATAACTTCACCTCAGTTTTTTTTTTTTTTTTAATTCGCTCTTTCATTCCTTCTCATCAGGAAATACCGGATACTTCCTAGGCCCCCCAAAAGCTGTTGTTGTGCCCTATATATATATGCATAAAAAACTATTAAATGGCAAGATCCTCATCCAATTAAATTATAAATATACAGTGGGCTCAAATTATAAATAATACTCATCACTCCTCAAGGACATCCTAACTGTATTGGCCATACATCTTATCAAACATATAAACTGACAGTATGCTATATTTAAACATCCTAGTACTGTATTATCAAACCGGAAAATATTAGATATATAGTATCCCCCTTAAGGAAACCTAAATAACATGACCCTTGTGACATGTACCTTCTGGCCTAAGCTACCTCAAATATTTTGTTTTAATATGATCAATATTTCTAAAGCTTTGTGAAAGCAAAATTATTTTATTAATGGAAATAAATAAAAATAACAATAGTCAAGGTATGGGTTATTTATTCTATCACAATTATTAAAGAACTCACTGCTGTACTTCTGGCAATTATTGTAACTCACTAGAAGCTGATGGGTCATAAACAAATCCATTTAACTCGCTTTTAGGAACAATCATTTTTGTAAATAGATTATATTTAATGAATTTTGTTGTTGTCTAAGAAGTAAAACAAACATTCAACTAGTTTGTGTGTGTGGAAATAAAACTAGACTTTGCAAGGGAAGAAATTTTAACTTAACCAAGAGAAGAAAATAACCAGATTTTTTGTATCCAGTTTTGAGGATCTGTATTAATATATTCCACTCAATATTGACTTTTTGCAGTGGTGCTAATACTTCTGTACCACACCTGGCCCATGTGCCCAATTGCCTTTAAAGTACAGTACTGTATGGTGATATTTCTTAATCATATGCTCAAACATTGAACAGTCAGACATTTCTCCTTCATGTCACCATATTTTTTTAAGTTAAAAAATATATTCAAATCCTTAGCCTAATCTTATAAATGTTAGAACACAAATTGTATTTAAAGTTATTACATATTTTGCCCTGTATATATTGTGATTTACACATCAGCAACCAATGAACTGCAAGAGCATATCACACCACCATAAAGTAACAAATTTAAAACAACTATGTGGCTCAAACTTGGTCAACTAACTTAAGTCATACACCTTGGACTCAGTGATTTATTTGCTATTACAAACTGTGGTATGGGAATATCATTTTATTTGAAAACTATATATGCTGGAATTGATACTTTAAAATCACATAAATGTAGCAAAATATTAACAGAAATCACAACTGCAACCAGATTACCACTTGACCTTAACATTTAGTATCCACAAACTGAATGTTTTGAAACTCCTGTTCTCTTGCCTTTTTTATCCTTTGGAAGTGAAAAACAAAATACCAGGATGTCATTTTTCCAAAAAAATTCATTTATTGCCACACACAACTGGTGTTACTTGACATGTGTTCATCTCATCAGAGAGGATGTAATCATAAAATGTTATTGGTAATCTGCCAGGTGGATCCTCTTGGCTTAGAAACTAATGACTTCTATTCCCTGCAGTGCAGAGTACAGTATTAAAATATGTAATCATTTTTTGATGTTATGAATATTAAAATAAATTAATATTTTATTTTGATATTTACTAAAATATATATATATATTTTTTTTTAAATAATTATTTTTGGCCACTTATGTTTAAACATTGCTGTTATCTTTTCAACAGTACGAGCTCTTACCATGTTGACCAAGCAACCAAGTTCTTCCGATGATGACCTCTCACCTATGCAGCCACTTCCTCTTGTGCAGCAGCGGGAAAACTACCTCGTCTAGAGAACCAGGAAGGGTACCATACCTTGGATACCTTGAAAATGCCTTTAATTTGGTCTCCTGGAAACTACCTAGTCTAGTATCGTACTGTATTGTTAAAAAAACACATAATGGTGGCACGACCAAGGGAAGAACTCACTGAGCATATGCCACTCTGGCTGGAAATTGCTGCTTGATTATTCCTTGTGGTCATGTGATAATTCGTAAGGGTTCTTGCCGAATGCTCTCAAAAGAGCTAGCATTTCGGCTTCCTATCTATGAAGGTTGAACAGTACTTCATATTTATAGTGTGATTAATTTGAGGAGTGCCTGGAAGTTTGCAAACTCAGATGGAAAAGTGCACAATGATACTGTATAGTATTATTGAAATTTGCTTCATACTGCCAGAAATTGAAACTTATTATTTTTCCATATATAAGAAGATCCATCCCATAATATCATATAATTGCACCAAATTACCTGTTTATGGGAACTGTAGTCTTCATGAAAATATGAACTGAAGTGACCAATGTTGTGATTCTGCTTCCATTTATATACAAAATCATACTGATGTGAGTACCAACTAGAACAGTTTTTATGTATTTGTCCCAAATGGTAATTAGATATTTAGCTTCTTGTGAATATGATTGTATTAGAAAAATTTCTACATACAGTGAACATAATGAATAGTTTGATGCAATTTGAGGATCTCGTATATGGCAAGTATCAGTGCTGATTATATCTTAAACTCAGCATTTGTATTATCAGTGGATACACAAGTTTCGATTAATTGAAACACTGTATACATGAATCTGCCTTATGGAGCATACAACTGAAATGTGCCAAGTGTGATAGACTGATAATGGGTGGCTTCATTTACAAGAATGTGATAATATTCTTGAACTTTTTATCAGATTCTTCCAAATACCTGTATGTCATTACTCTATGTAGTCATTTTTTTTCATATTCATGAACATTATGTATGAATAGTATAATATTTAAAACTTTTAACCAATTGATTGCTCAGCTGTTCTTCCATATGAAGTTATAATTTGTACTATTTTCCAGTTTTAAACAGCCTTGCTTCCAGTATGTCAGTTTGCAATCATTGCCAGTTTTGAAGATGTTTATAGTGAAGCCATTTCCTATTTCAGCATAAAAGAAAAGGACTTTCCAAACTGTTGAGTGTGTTCATGTACTTGAGCTTCCAATATGGTATTGAAAGTTAGTTACAGTATCTCCAGTTTTATGGTGAATGTTGAGAACGTTTACACTACCAATGAGCATTGCTAACTCAAAGACCTACGAATCCAGTCTCGGTGCCACATTAACTGAAGCTGGTGTGTCAGTCACTTAGGATTTCTCTAGTATTGTTATTTGTCTTTTGTATGTAATATGTCTAGGTCTGGTTATATATTTTTGTTGTTAATTAGAGAGAATTTTTGTCTAATGGTTGCTATTTTTCTATACATGCCTGCATTCTATTGACAATTTTCATCCCTAGAAAGCTCATACCACTGTGGTATCAGCCTTAGTGTATAGGTACTCTGTGATTCCTCAATCCTTTGGACTGATAGCCAGCTGCAATATATGAACTTATTGTGTAAATAGTTTGGTACACTAGTATTAGGTTTGATTTTTTATTGGAAGTAATTTTTATTAATACTGTATTTTGCCTCCAAAGTATTATGTTCATAAATAAACAATCATTATTATTTTCTAGATAAATGCTTGAAATGTCAAACTCTAGCTTTAAAGAATGGCATCTTTTATTACTCACTTTACAAATTAAGTTTGTTTCAAACATATCTTAAGCAATAATACCAATATATGATCCTTTTCATGAACATAATCATACTTCATTATTGTTGTGGTGAAGACTGCCAGAAAATAAGAGAACTTTGTTAAATATGTTCGGTTGATTTTTTATGCCTTCAATAATAATATAAGGAATGTCAGAAAGACTATGCTGTTGGTTATACATAATAATGTATATTTTAACTGCTCTTAAACTTATGTATTTTTTACAAAAGATGTTTACTGTATATTGCCAGTACTATTTTTTGGAACCTGTGCAAAAGATTGTATTGTGCAATAAAAATCCATTGCTCTAACCTCTGCCATTGTCTTTGACATTCAGAATTTTGTTAAGTTGTTTAGTTCATTCTCCATGCCTTTGAACAACTAGTACTGAAACAACAGAAATTGGTGCACACTCGCCTGTTTAAGGCTAACAAGCTAAAATAAAACACCACGTGAATAATAATTGGATGAAATGGCCAAAAATACTTTTTCTCTCAGAACTAAAATTTAATGTGCCTAACTACTTAAGAACATCCAGAATAATACACAAGCACTAAGAAATGACCTTGAAAACCCAAAAGTGGTGAATAATTAGCATTGCAAATGTAATTGAAAATTTTTAAAAGCCATTTGGACAAGCAATAATCCAGATATAAAATTTTGGTTAGCAGATCCTTACCACATACCACCGCTCCTGCCCACCACCTACCGACTCTCTTCCTCCATATTCCACCTCTCCCTCCCACCCTCTGCATACCACCTCTCCCTCCCTCCACATACCACCTCTCCCTCCAACCACCTCCTTCCCTCCCTCCACCTACCACCTCCCCCTCTCTCCCTCCCCTCCACATACCAGCTCTCCCTTCTTCCCTCCACATACCACCTCTCCCTCCTTCCCTCCACATACCAACTCTCCCTCCCCCACACACTGTAATGACCACGGTCGTACACGTAAGTTAACGTTTAAATTAAAAGATGTAGCTATGCCTTCTTTATTTGAGTCCCCCGTCTGAAGTGTCCGTTTTCTCATCGTTTCAGGACATCTGAGTTCTCCGTTTTCTCTCATTCATGGAGTGCACCCCAGACTTGGTTATTCCTTAGTAATGACACAGAATTACATACCACCCCACCCTCCTCCATACCACCTCTCCTTCCTCCCCACCACATGCCACCTCTCCTCCTCCACATACCATCTGGTCCCTCCTCCCTCCTTTTCCTTCGTCCTCCCTCCCTCCACATAGCACCTCTCCCTCCCTCCCTTACCACCTCCCTACATACCACCCCTCCTTCCCTCCCTCCCACCACCACCTCTTCCTTCCCTCCCCTCCTCCACATACCACCTCTCCTCCCTCCCTCCCCATACCCTCTCCCTCCTCCCTCCACATAACCTCTCTTTCCCTCCCACCACATACCAACTCTCCCTCCCTCCCTCCACATACCACCCCTCCCTCCTTCCTACCACCTCTCCCTCCCTCTCTCTACTTACCACCTCTCCATCCCTCCACATACCACCCCTCCCTCCCTCCACAAATCGTCTCTTCCTCCCTCCACATACCACTCCTCCCTCCCTCGTGGAAGTAGATTATCGACTTTTTGGGAGGGAACAATTTCCAAAGTAAATTATCATAGAAAACGGGAAATTTGTATCACAGAAAAGTGAAATATTTGTATTTTCTGGGAAAGTTGGTTATCTACTTGTCATAGAAAACGGGAAATTTGTATCATAGAAAATGGGAAATATCTACTTTCCGGGAAAGTTGGTTATCTACTTTCCTGAAAAGTAGATTATCTACTTTTTGGGAAAGTAGATTTTCGACTTTTCGTGGAAGCAGATTATCGATTTTTTAGGAGATATTAACATATTTTTTAAAGTAGATTATCATAGAAAACGGGAAATTTGTATCATAGAAAATGGGAAATATCTACTTTCCGGGAAAGTTGGTTATCTACTTTCCCAAGTAGATTATCTACTTGGGAAAGTAGATTTTCGACTTTTTGTGGAAGTAGATTATCGACTTTTTGGGAGATATTAACATATTTTCGAAATTAGATTATCATAGAAAACGGGAAATTTGTTTCACAGAAAATGGGAAATATTTCTACTTTCTGGGAAAGTTGGTTATCTACTTTCCCGAAAAGTAGATTATCTACTTTTCAGGAAAGTAGATTTTCGACTTTTTGTGGAAGTAGATTATCGACTTTTTGGGAGATATTAACATATTTTCCAAAGTAGATTATCATAGAAAACGGGAAATTTGTATCACAGAAAATGTGAAATGTTTCTACTTTCTGGGTAAGTTGGTTATCTACTTATCATAGAAAACGGGAAATTTGTATCATAGAAAATGGGAAATATCTACTTTCCGGGAAAGTTGGTTATCTACTTTCCTGAAAAGTAGATTATCTACTTTTCGGGAAAGTAGATTTTCGACTTTTCGGGGAAGTAGATTATCGACTTTTTGGGAGATATTAACATATTTTCCAAAGTAGATTATCATAGAAAACGGGAAATTTGTCTCACAGAAAATGTGAAATATTTCTACTTTCTGGGATAGTTGGTTATCTACTTATCATAGAAAACGGGAAATTTGTATCATAGAAAATGGGAAATATCTACTTTCCGGGAAAGTTGGTTATCTACTTTCCTGAAAAGTAGATTATCTACTTTTCGGGAAAGTAGATTTTCGACTTTTCATGGAAGTAGATTATCGACTTTTTGGGAGATATTAACATATTTTCCAAAGTAGATTATCATAGAAAACGGGAAATTTGTCTCACAGAAAATGTGAAACTATTTCTACTTTCTGGGAAAGTTGGTTATCTACTTATCATAGAAAAGTAGATTATCTACTTTTGGGAAAGTAGATTTTCGACTTTTCGTGGAAGTAGATTATCGATTTTTTAGGGAGATATTAACATATTTTTAAAGTAGATTATCATAGAAACGGGAAATTTTGTATCACAGAAAATGTGAAATATTTCTACTTTCTGGGAAAGTTGGTTATCTACTTATCATGAAAACGGGAAATTTGTATCATAGAAAATGGGAAATATCTACTTTCCGGGAAAGTTGGTTATCTACTTTCCTGAAAATTATCTACTTTTAAGGAGAGAGTAGATTTCGACTTTCGTGGAAGTAGATTATCGATTTTTAGGAAATATTAACATTTTTAAGTAGATTATCATAGAAACGGGAAATTTATCTCATAGAAAATGGGGAAATATCTACTTTTGGGGAAAGTTGGTTATCTACTTTCTGAAAAATGAATTATCTATTTAGGAAAAGTAAATTTTCGACTTTTGTGGAATTAGATTATCGATTTTTAGGAAATATTAAAAAATTTTAAAGTAGATTATCATAGAAACGGGAAATTTGTATCATAGAATGGGAAATATCTGCTTTCGGGAAAGTTGGTTACATCTACTTTCCTGAAAGTAGATTATCTACTTTGGGAAAGTAGATTTTCGGCTTTTTAAGTGGAAGTAGATTATCGATTTTTTTAGGAGATATTAACATATTTTTTAAAGTAGATTATCATAGAAAACGGGAAATCCTTGTCACAGAAATAATGAAATATTTCTATACTTTCTGGGAAAGTTGAGATTTATCTACTTATCATAGAAAACGGGAAATTTGTATCATAGAAAATGGGAAATTTCTACTTTCCGGGAAAGTTGGTTATCTACTTTCCTGAAAAGTAGATTATCTACTTTTTGGGAAAGTAGATTTTTGACTTTTCGTGGAAGTAGATTATCGATTTTTTTTAGGATATTAACATATTTTTTAAAGTAGATTATCATAGAAAACGGGAAATTTGTATCACAGAAAATTTGAAATATTTCTACTTTCTGGGAAAGTTGGTTATCTACTTATCATAGAAAACGGGAAATTTGTATCATAGAAAATGGGAAATATCTACTTTCCGGGAAAGTTGGTTATCTACTTTCTTGAAAAGTAGATTATCTACTTTTTGGGAAAGTAGATTTTCGACTTTTTGTGGAAGTAGATTATCGATTTTTAGGAAATATTAACATTTTTTAAAGTAGATTATCATAGAAAACGGGAAATTTGTATCACAGAAAATGTGAAATATTTGTTTTTTTCTGGGAAAGTTGGTTATCTACTTATCATAAAAAACGGGAAATTTGTATCATAGAAAATGGGAAATATCTACTTTCCAGGAAAGTTGGTTATCTACTTTCCTGAAAAGTAGATTATCTACTTTTTGGGAAAGTAGATTTTCGACTTTTCATAAAGTAGATTATCGATTTTTTAGGATATATTAACATATTTTCTAAAGTAGATTATCATAGAAAACGGGAAATTTGTATCACAGAATATGCGAAATATTTCTACTTTCTGGGAAACTTGGTTATCTACTTATCATAGAAAACGGGAAATTTGTATAATAAAAAAGGGGAAATATCTACTTTCCTGTAAAGATGGCATCCTGTGGTGACCACAGGTATCCACTGGGGACCTCAGTCATCCCCTGGTGACCTCAGGCATGCCATGGTGACCTCAGGCATGCCATGGTGACCTCAGGCATCCTCTGGTGAATTCAGGTATCCTCTGGTGACCTCATGCATCCCCTGGTGACATCACACATCCCCTAGTGACCTCAAGTATCCCCTGGTGACCTCAGGCATGCCATGGTGACCTCAGGCATGCCATGGTGACCTCAGGCATCCTCTGGTGAATTCAGGTATCCTCTGGTGACCTCATGCATCCCCTGGTGACATCACACATCCCCTAGTGACCTCAAGTATCCCCTGGTGACCTCAGGCATCCCCTGGTGACCTCAGGTATCCCCTGGTGATCTCAGGCATACACTTGTGACATTAGGGATCTCATGGTGACCTCAGGCATCCACTAGGGATCTCAGGCATTCCCTGGTGACCTTAAGCATCCACTGGTGACCTTCGGTATCCCATGGTCACCTCAGGCATCTCGTGGTGACCTCAGGCATCCCCAAGTGGTCTCAGGCATCCCCTGGTAACCTCAGACATTCTTTGGTGACCTCAGGCATCCCCTGGTGACCTCTGGCATTTCCTGGTGACTTCAGGCATCCCCTGGTGACCTCAGCCATCCCTTGATGACCTTGGGCATCTCGTGGTGCCCTCAGGCATCCCCTGGTGATCTCGGGCATCTACTGGGGATCTCAGGCATCCCCTGGTGTCCTTAGGCATCCCATGGTGACCTATGGCTTCAAAATGCCAATGTTATTGGTCATATTTTAAAAAAAATTCTGGGGGGGGGCTTGCAGCATCCCAAGCTGGGTGGGTTCGCTTTGCTCACCATGTTCCTCCATTCACAACTCCTTGGACCCCCATTTGATATTCCTGGATCTGCCCCTGCTGTCTGTTCTATCTATTTATTCTTGTCTGATAAGGTCTCTCCATGGGCCTGTAGGTTGTTTCATTGTATTCCTCATGCACCAAGATTAACATTGGCATTGTAGGAAAAAATTAATGTATTCACAGACTGCTTCATTCACCTTGTTAAATACCAAGAAACATTAAAATTTTACTTAAAAAAATATTATGATGGATTTGTTTCATAAATGGGAAAAAGGATTGTGATTGTAAACTGAAAATATCAGAAGGTGGACGTGACGATAAACTGTTTCACTGTCCGTGCTTATACAATATTAACATTACTTTTGGGTCAGGTGGGATATAAATTTTGGTGGGCTGGCCCGCAGAAAAATACCTAAATTGTAATGCGGCCCATGCCTGTTTTAGAGCTACAAAAGTACTTACAGCAACCAGTTGTGTCGGAGGCAAGTGATGTGAAACATGTAAATAGTGTCCATCCGGGCATAACTTTAACAAAAATATATGCGATTCAATGAAATTTGATAAGTGAATGTACACTCACTTCAAAAAAGTATCTTTATGATTTTGTGAGAGACAATACGACACAACAGACAAAGGATTTCAACAACCCTAGCGAGGCAACAGGAGTCACGGTATTCATTTTGAAATTCATTGAAGCTCATTAATATCCCTCGAGTTGGATTGCCAATATTTTCCCTTCATATTCTAGGGGGTTTACAGAATGTAGTGTGTACTGTACTGCATTTTGTTCCCACAGAGGTTCATGGGGCTCTTGCAGCCAACTATTGCTATGCCCCCTCCAATATTTAGAAAAGGGGTAAATACTGTACAGTAATCGTCATAAATCTGCCTGTGCTACAGTTTGTTAGTACAGGTACATCTGTGTGGCTGTTCGTGGCCACTATTTTCTTTGAAACTGCTATCCTTGAGAGCTGAAAATGTACAGACCAGTTTCCTATTCTATAAATCCAACAGTGAGCCAAAGTTACTTTAAACATAGTCTCACCAGTGAGTAGATGTTTTGTAACTTTATGTTATAAGTGTGTGTATACGGTAGCCTGCAAGCAGGAGTCTTCAGGTAGTATCCTACCCATGAAGAAGTTGCTATTGGATGTGCAGTTTATTGTAGCCCCCACCCTCCCTGTTGCCACCCATTGTCTCACCAAGCAAGACTTTAATATGTGACTGTGAGAGATGGCAACTGAACATCAAGTGTGTTGTACAAAATATATGAAAACTCTGCAGTCTCAACCAGCCACCACAATAATAGCATATACTCTCCCTCTTACTAGCAGCATTGTTTTCTGCTGAACTCAAGAGCTCACCAACGAAGGATACATCACACACATCATTGTGTTATTGCTGGATGATTGTCATACACTGTATATCTTACCAGCCTTTAACAGTATTTTAATGTATAAACAGCTTATATTAATTTTGTAGGCAGCTATAATTACAATTTGTTTTCTTTTCTTTTACTACAGTTTGGTAATAAGAACTTTCTTTATATTTCAAAAATAGTACATAAGATATACAAATAACATTTTAATGAGACATTAGAAATTAACATGATTCAAAGTGTTCAATGTCAAGGCATGATAAATCAGAAAACATGGAAAGCTTTCATAGTATACATTGGTACATCCCACTTTATGCATTTTCCAAAGATAATATGGCACAACCACTAAGTATTTATATCAAATTATCCATATTCTTTATGCTAAAGTTTCTAAAGATATTTAAAAAATATATATTTTCATACTTATCATTCATACTGGAGAGAAGATGGTCCACAAAAAAAAAAGATAATAATCTAATTGATTATTTGTTAGAAAGGGTGCAAAATTCTGCAACTCTTAGGAGATGAAATATGATCAAATATGACAACTGGAAAGTGCATACTTTAAAGTTCTAAAGCCTCTCTATTTGGAACATCCATAAGCATTTTGTGTATTACTCCATTAAAGCTTCCAATTATATAACATGATTGTAGCACCTGACCTCTATTCTTCATGTTCATGGGTAGGCATGGTGATCCGCTTGTTCTTATATGAAGGCCATCGGCAGGTTGGGCAGTGGTGATTATCCTTCAAAAGCCATTCTGTGATACATGAATGATGATAGTTGTGTCCACAAGGAAGACCACAAAGGACTGCAGACCATCGATAACGCCCAAGGCAGATAGCACAAATGCGACTTTCTATTGCATGTGACGGTGCTGTCCATTTTAGTTCAGTTAGCCTCTGTGGAGATAGCAACCATCTTGATGGACTTCTAATTTTGTTTGCTTCTTTGACAGTGAGATCAGAATTTTGCTGTTTTCTTGTCTTGCAGCAATTTTCACAAACTTTCAAAAGCTTTTCATATGTCACATTTTGGTGACTTTTATCGTCAGTTTTACGGTATCTCAAGTACTGCCTCTCTAATTTTCGTTTTAAAATTGCACATCTATGACAAACATATATATCCTTCACTGTAGTCCACAGTCCACATAATCTACAACCATAGTCTTGACAACATACATGTGTGTCTAATAACGTATCATTTTCATTTTCACTTACACTATCTACATCTGTTTCACTCTCAGATTTTAAGTCCTCCTCATTTCCCCAACCATCAAACCTCCACATAGGTAGATCTTTCATGTAATCAGTTGGTATTACTGGGTGCAACCATAAATCTGGAGTTGCTAAACGTTCAATTAGACGCTCCATGCCTTCTTCTAAGCCTAAATCCTGAGATGGTCTTGGATGGGATAAGGAAGCCATGGGACGGAAGAGGACATTAACTAAATATGAATCCATAGGAAACACTGTCCACCAACTGGTATCAACTTCCTCCTGCTCTGTATCCCCTCTCTTCAACAAAAGATGCCAAGTCAATGTAATAAAACTAAATAGGATAATTGACATCCAAACAATGATTGGATGACTTTCAATCATTAACCAGTGATACCTCATTTGACAAAAAAACCATGTGGAATTCAAAGAAGTAATCAACCATGATCCAGACTGCAATACACTATCAACCATGGAAAATCGCAGCAATGCAGTGACAGCAAGCCAAAGCAGAAATACAGTCACATTATATACAAGAATTCGCACAAATGTGAGTACTACATGTTTCCACGCTCTGATTCTGACATCTAGAAAGTAAAAAAAGTCTGACACTGCTAACAAGTTTGCCATTATAAGAGAAACAAGAAATGCATCGTTCATATGCGGCTGTAATGTACATATGTAGGAATTTAATGCTGGGCGAGTTAGGGGTTCCCCCTTTCTTCCTCCATAAGATGTGGTCCCCACGGATGTCACAACAGCTATGCTGGGTACTCCACTTAAGCCAGATTTCTTCAGTAGGTGGGATACCTGGAAATTAAGTATAGCTTACCCTATTGTTTTTCATACAGTCATCCTCCGGTAAATGGAAGGCTTAGGTTCCATAAAATCTTGCTGTAAATTAAAATTCTAGTGTCATGAAGCACTTTTAGTTCATTGTCTGCTGCCATTGTACAAGCTTGCTTTCTGCTGCAATGAAACTATAAGAGTTGTGGAAAATCATTTCAATACTCTAATGTGACGCAGAAATGAAGAAAATAAAACATAAAACTATAAAATAAGAAAAATGAAGAGCATAGGTGTGTATTTGTGAGAAGTAAATGTATGTGTGGAGGCAGTAGGCTGTAGATGTGTCACCAGCTACCCACACTTCTTCCCCGGGGTCCGATGTTTTTTAATTTTTGATGAATGGCAAAATACCGAATAATGAAGGATTGGAGCCTATTCCCATTTACTTCATGTTAAAGGAGTATCTGAGAACAAAGTAAATTTTGTGAACATATCCACATCGTTGCCGAAGGTATACCTGTACAGTATGTACAAGTATACAGTATTTTTATTTTCTTCTAAACTATATTCAAATTTTTTACTAAAATTCCCATTATAGTAGCTGACTAGCCATTCTCTACCCTCCTTAACCACAGCACCCAGATACATAAGGTACAGTCTCTAATACTGTACAGTTATTTCCTCTATCTACAAAAGGAATGCCTTTCTAAAATTCTTTTCAGCTACTGATATTTAATAATTAGTAAGACTTTTCCATTACTTTAAGGTTTAAAATTATGGATACATTCTGGGCAGTTTACTGAGCCCTTTTCCCAACACTGAAACACATGATTTCCTTTAAAGATAAACACACTAATAATAAAGGCAAAAAGATAGTACAGTACAGTGGTCCCTCGGTTAACGAACAGTTCGATTAACGAAATCCTTACGAACATCACGTTTTGTTGTGAGCATTAGCTAATCAGCTAATGAGCTGGTCTGCCAATTCAGTAATCTGTTCTATGTTTACATTCGTTTCCAGTGGATTAAATATTAAGAAAGTTGTGCTCTTTAATATTTTTGCATTTTTATATTAAAACTATTAGACATTTTAAAATTTAGTTAACATATTGATAAAATATGCAGTACAGGGAACTAGTTTTTTGTGCGCCCATCAGCCTCTTGACTCAGCCACCAGGCGTCAGTTTGGCTTTGTTGACAGTGGAGTGAACATCTGTTTTGTTGGTGTCTTGAATATTTTTGTATTTTTACATTGAAATTATTGGTCATTCTGAAATTAAGTTAACATATTGATAATATATAGTACAGTGTTGATTTAAACAAAATAATCTTGAATTACACCAAGTGAACTTAAAATTTTATTGTTGAAATGACTGCATCAAGCATGGGTCCCCTGAAAGGTGATTTCTCCTCCATCCCCACTTCCTTCTCTTCTCCCTTCTCCTCCACCCCCACTTCTAATTCCCATCATCATCATCAACCAGGAGCCTTCTACATACACACCTCAAAGTAGGCATACTTTACTGCATTTTTTTTTACTTTGTACTTTTCTGTGCGCTGGAACCAATTACCCAATATCCCATTGAAACAATGGATTCAGTTAACGAACGACTCTGTGGAATGAATTGTGTTCGTTAACCGAGGGACCACTGTAAGTAGATAACACAATACACATTAATTTAGTTCAATGACAAAAGGTGCTGGAGGGTAAAATATTAAAGCGTGTACCTTACCTTATCTCTGGTGTGGATGTACGCTTGTGTCTACAGAAGTGATGATGAAAATGAGGAAATTAAGGAAACACGGAGAAAATACTACAATGATCTGCTGAATGAGGAGTATAGTACAGTGAACATGCCCAAGGATTGAAAGAGAATGCGAGAAGAAAGTGATTGACAAATGAAGAATGGTAAGGTTGCTGGTAGTTCTGGAATAGCTGCACAATTGTTGAAAACATCAGCCAATAGTAGCAAATATGAATAATGCAATTATGATGAAATGTACTGATGTACTGTATTGTTCTAGCTGACTGGCTGAAAAGCATAACTGTTAATACAGTACAGCGAAACTGATAAAGGACATAGTGGACATTAGTTTGGCTTCATACCAGGCAGGTTGTATAGAAAAAATATTTATGGCCAAGCAACTACAAGAGAAGTACGTAGAGGAGAGAAAGCTGTACTTTTCATTTGTAGACTGAGAAAAGGCAGTACAATATAGTAGTAAAATGGGCAATGAGAAAGTTACAGTGAAACCACCATAATTCGTACTCCCTTAATTTGAAATCAATCATAATTCGTAAATTTTGCTGTTACATAATATGTTACAAATTTGTAATATTTGGTAAAATTTCTAATTATGTGAGACATTTACTCACCCTCACTCTTTTTATGATGAAACTGATGATCATCCGTTATTCACAGATTCAATATATTATCAAAAGGATTCCCCTTTTTTTAATACACGTCACAGAAAAAAATGGCAAAATTATTATATTTACCTGTTCTTTTTCTTCCTTTCTGACTGTAAAAGACGCAAGCTTGATTCGCGTTGACAAACGAAGACCAAGAGTAGCAATCAGCAGAGGAGGGCTAAGTAACTCTGATATGTATACTACACGGGGAACCTAATGTGAAAGAAAAAAGAAGATATTAAAGTACTATTTTTCCAATAAAAATTCACAAGTGATCAAAATAAAATGATGTTATGATACCAAAGAGAAAAACAAACATAATGACCATTGCAACTATACTGGCAAGAGTTCAATAAAAAAAAGCTATATTCTTTGTTGACTATACAATGAACAGAATGGCTTATCCTTGAATAATGAAAGTCTTACACTTACCATGTGAAAATATTTGGTACTTGAGGAAAATTTGTTCTGACACTAGGAAAAGGTATTTATGGCGATGATATCCTTTAGCTTAACATCCTTATAAAGATTTCTCAGTTCTTTACATACCTTTTCCTTGTCTACTTGTGTTACATTGAGCCAAATTTCTTCAAGTTGTTTTGCATCCTGAACCACCTCAATACGTGACAATATCTGTCCAAACAGCCACATGAGAACAGACATGACAGAGAGGTGGGTGGTGGAAGTGAAAACAATTTGTTCACGGCCAGGTAATCTACCTAGATTTCTACTAGTAGTCAGTTTACTAGCTTGTCGGCCTGGGGGTAAAATAAGTACCAGCTGGGGATGGCTCCATCCTTGTCGTGCACAAAATCTGAAATCAGAAGATATTACAGTACAAAATAAATTATATATATATATATATATATATATATATATATATATATATATATATATATATATATATATATATATATATATATATATATATATATATATATATATATATATATATATATATATATATATATATATATATATATATATATATATATATATATATATATATATATATATATATATATATATATATATATATATATATATATATATATATATATATATATGTATAGATTAGTAGGGTCATTACCTAATACCTGACCATTGTGGACCTGGTCTCACCCTCCTCTGTATATATACACCTTGTTTTGTACTTCTCTTTAGTCTGTACTCACCCCTGAAGATGTGAATTACACGAAAGCACTTGGGAACTTCTGTTTTTCTTTCTTGTGGTTATAGCATATACCTAGATTTACTTGCATATATATATATATATATATATATATATATATATATATATATATATATATATATATATATATATATATATATATATATATATATATATATATATATATATATATATATACACTACCCCTTGGTTACCCGTCCCACTTATACTCCACGCCTATGAAGAACTACTCCTATGATTTATGAACACAAAATATGAATGGATATTGACAAAAACACTGAAAACAATCAAATAAAAAGTTTAATGGAGAAGATGGACTGTGGTTGCAACAGGAACTCACCGTCGGTCATACTGACAGCTAACAACAGCACTGCTGACCTGGAGAACTTGTAGCTTGGGTACAAGAGCATGCCAAGAGCGGTCATCCAGCACACGATGTCCTGCATACTGACCTTCTCCTGGCACTACTTCAATCAGCCACAAAGATTCATTTTCATCGTAAATCTAAAAATACATATTAACAGTATTAAAATAAGCAATGCACAATTATCTATATCCTATTTCAATAGTTTCATACAGCCAAATTAAGGATATTTCCTTTTCTGGTTTATTAATTCACGGGGGATACTTATGAAACTACTTATGCTTACTCTGGAATTACAAAATGCAAGTACAGTGAACCCTCGAAGATACGGACTAAGCAGGGGGAACACCTGTCCGGAAAAGCCGATTGTCCAAATCTTCCAGCGAATGCATAAAATGAATTAAAACGATAAATAATGATATAAAAAACACAAAAAATACAGTACATACAGTATTATCCTGACTACTGGGGTTAGTTATACAGACTTTTTCCTGTGAAAAAGCCATAATTTTGAGCAACATATTACTGTATTCACTTTGTACTCAAATGTACTACATTAAAGGACTAAATTTTTTATCTCTTTTGCAAATTATGTAATGGCTATACTCAAATTATTTGCTATCTTGCAAGGATTCCAACAATGAAAGTTATATTCTGCTAAGTTTAGTCTGTGACATTTTATAAGATAAAATCTTTAAGCCTAAAACTACCTTCACCCTGTTTGGGAATGCTTCTTAGGGAGGCTTCTTAGCCCAGAACCCCCAAATTTTTGGTTTGAATCTTCCGAAATCTGGATTCACCGGATCTGGATCTTCGAGGGTTTACTGTAAAAGTAAAGTGTACCTAAAGTTTTGACAGGTAAATTTCAAAATGGTCCATTTTTTCACACTTAGGACATCTTTAGCCTCCTTCCCTATACAGTACACTACCCATTTTCTTCCATCCTCCTCTCCTTTTAAACAAAGTAAGTACAGAAACTCTGCCCTACATAGTGTTGTACAGGTAATTGTATGAGTAGCATAATTTTTAAAATTGCTGGTTGTTTGGGTTGTAGGGGTGAGTGGGAGTGAACTGTTCAAGAAATAAGAAAATTGTCTTTTGAAAAGGGTCTCTATTTTACCCATAATATAAAGTATTCACTGTATGTGTTCTACAGGAACACATTCCCCAAGTAAAGTGAAGAGCTACTGTACTTACCCATAAAATGTTTAAATATTACAGGCACCTATTAAGCTTAAACATTAATATATATAAAATGACTAAATAATATTTTGTAATCATTTACCATACTGTACTGGTAGACCACAATTTACAAATTTAAAGATACACTTTTTTATTCTGTACTATGTAATATGAACAAAAACCCTGAAGTTACAATTTTATTTATTTCTTTGTGTCATCTGAAGATGCTGTGATACTGATATAGGGTTCAAGGAATGTCATGTACTGTACTAACCCTGACCACAATACAGTATAGTCTAGACTTTTGGTGTGTATACTACATTTCTAAGTTCTTGTATCATACATTCAAGAATAAAGTTTTAAATCTTATAGTAATATGTCTTAACAATCAATCATGAAGTACACAGGGAATCTATGCCAGTGTTCATCACTCCCTCCTTGTAATCCGTGGAGGGAGTGTGGCTTCTGTGAGGGGAGGATTTAATATAAGTACAGATAAAAAAATGCTGTTAATGGTCAAAATCATTCTGTATGATAACTAAATTAGGTGTACTTGTAGGAAGAAGTTTCATATGAGCAGTCAAAATGGTAAAAGATAAAACTGCAATTTATGAAGGTGTGCAGTGGGAACAATGATGCTACACCACACATTGTTGGTGTTGATAAATTTGGTGACAAACTTTTTACCTCAGGTACAGGTATCCCTCGCTTAATGATGGAGATGTGCTCCTGAAAATCCTAATGTTAAGCGAATTTATTGCTACAAGAGGGATAACAGGAAAGCACAGAGGATGAACTACAGGTTCAAATGGAAGAAAAGTAAACAGAGTACAGTACTGTACTCCAGAGTAATAATAATAAATAAGTTTATTATAAAATTTTCCGAGTTAAATGATTGATTTATTAACACCAAACTTCCATATAAACGATGTGGTTCAGAGTTAAACAATTTAGTGAGCGAAAGATGAGCTTAAGTCGAAAAATTTCAAATTCCAAAGGTAAAAAATTAATGAAAATTACTATGATAAACAATAAAATTGATACATAGAATATCATAAAATACAATAGCTCATATTCTATATACAAAAAAAGCTCCTTCCACACTAAAACCATCCTCTGAGCAACATGACACAGTTCAGCCAGGCAGTCACCCAGCTGACTCCGAGACGTGTGTGTATGCCACTGACGTGACATATTGAGGGAAAGAGGTGCTGCTGGGTGGAGAGTCACCAATGCAGTTACAGCCCACTGCCTCCACACATACTGTACATTCTATACACACCCAGGCTCTTTATTTTTCTTATTTTATAGTTTTATATTATACAGTATTTCCTCTTATTTCTAAGCCACATCACAGTACAGTATTGTAATGATTTTCCCACAACTTTTACAGTTTCATTACATGAAACAATGGCAACATGTCATCCTCACAGGCCACCTCATCGCAGTTTTTTCCCTTCACACTGAGTCAAGCTATTCCTAAACCAAATTTTGACTTAATCTGAAGTAAGACAAGGCGTCACAATTTATCGTTATTCCGAATTAACGCCTAGTCATTTAATGCTAAATGAAGGACACCTGTATTGTTCTACAGTATTATGATTACTAATTAATCTAGATATTGTTTTCCATAAAATATATGACCTTACACAGGTTATTAGAGTCATTTTATAATGTTTGGGGAAGATTTTTTCTTAGAATCTTTTCTCCCATTATTTCACAGATGACAATACTGTACAGGTGCAGAAGGGCTTCGGAAACTCACTCACCAGCTCGCTCACGACTAGTGGAAAATCCTTAGGGCGAGTTAAAGTTTATGTATATTTACTAGCTCGCCGAGCGCGCGGTAATTATGCCGTATACGAAAGTGAAAGTGTCTAACATTGTTTAGCTATAAGGAAAAAATGGTCTTATTAAAAAAAGAAATATTTTTCTAAAGCAAATGCATTTAGAACCACACTTATTATTAATAATAATTATGAGTCTGTACATTCTTTGCAGCTACCTGTAACCATTTTTTGTGGGGTAGTGGATTTGAAATAGTCTAACCCAATGGGCAAGTGGAAATTTTTTAGATTCAGCATGCCTGAATAGAAAAATTGGCTTTAATTCAGAAACACAACCCTTTCATAAATTGAGGTCTGTGAATACAGTACAGTACTGTATAGAAATGACTATTCTAAATATTAAAAAAAAAAATCTTTAAATGATAAATTATTTACCTGTTCATAGAAGTCTTCTTTTCCAACTATTTCAATTGGAGTTCGTGATTCAGTGGTGACTTCTTTTGCAAAGATTTCTCCATACTGAACTGAACCTGAAAGATAATTCTCTACATAATTCAACTGCTTAGAGCATCTTTTTGTCATTTTGATCTATCTGCCCATCCATCATCTCCAATCCTCTCCCGCATGTGTGTGGGGGTTAATAAAGGAACACAGTAACTTTAAAGGGGAAAAATAAATTGGAGACAATCATGGAAAAATAAAGATAGGAATGGACTACAATAACAAGTAGAAATACAGTATCTACACATACTTGCTCATAGCCTTAACTAGTACTGTATATGAAGTAAAGATGTACTTCACTGTATTAGACACTCAATACATTGGAAATCAGCCTTACCAATCACCTAATGGACTAAGATACTGTATATCGGCAAGAATCTGACTTGGCTGATACTAGTCCATTTGCCATCCAAGTTTGTTCCCATGTGTTGGCATCACTAGCCATATGCTCTTGAGATATTTGCTCTTCTTATTATAGAAGACACATTGTAAAAGTATCTGCTGCCAGTAGTAACTTCTTGCTGTTATTATGAAGAATTTTTTCTTCTTACTATTCTTCTTCAGCTTCCTCCTCTTCTTTGTCATCTTGCTGTTTCTTCTTCTTCTTCTCTCTGTTTTGCAGAGTAATATCACTACCCTTTATTCTTTGTCAAATATTTTACAAATGAATGTTCATACAATAATATGTTGTTCCTAAGTAAACATGATTAAACAGGATTATTTTCCCCCTATCTTGGTGACTACCACTACTCGGGACAGGTACAAAACAAGGAACTGTCATTATCCTCATTTGCTGAAGCTTTTTCTTTTGTCTTTTATAATTATTTTGTAGAGAATTTTGAGGCAAAATACTTAACAGATTTTCAAGAGAGTTAACGTTTACATATGGCCTGAAAATTGTACTCTGAATAAAGAGCAACCCCAAAATCCCATGGTTCCTGGAGTTGGGACTTGGTATATACAGCATGCCCGGAAAATTCAAGGATTTTTATTTCGCGGTCCTCTAATATTCACGAATGACACCCTAGATGTACCCAAGAATGTCTGCAGACAGTTTTAAAGTTGCCAACATTTTCGTGGCCGGTACAGGGAGCGCGCGAGTTTTGTGGTGACCCGCAAGGTGTCTGTCTTGTCCCGGGAGGCTGGCCCATGCGAGCCCCCGCTCCCTCCGCCTCAGTCCGGGATAAACACTTGTCCGTCTCGCGCGTGTGCTACTCTGCTCTCGTAACAGCTGTGCTCCTCGTGCTTGTGATGGCTCCCAAACACCCTCAACCACCTTCATCCAGCTGCGGGAAGGTGCCCAGACAAGTGAAGAGAGAATAGAAAGTCATGACCTTAGTCGAGAAGATACAACTGCTGGACAAACTTGGGAGTGGCCAAAGCTTTGCCACGTATGGCGGGGAATATGGCATCAACGAATCAACTGTCCGTTACATTAAAAAGAAAAAGAAGTTAATACTACAGGGCATTTCAACATAGTGACAGTGCTAAAGGTAAGATTGGCTGGGAGTAAATACACACACACTCGTTGATTACGAGTGGTTGGGACTGGGCTGTTCACATTTGTGTGTGTGTGTGTGTGTGTAATACAGGTAAAAGAAATAATTGTCCTATAGGGCAAACACATAAATGGAATATACATTTCTTTGTACACAAGTAAAAATGTAATCCCTTTCCCCTGGTCAGCAAATGTTATTCGCGGATTTGGCGATTAGCAGCCATTTTGAGAACCTAACCCCTGCGAATTTGAAGGGCAAGCTGTACTGTATCTCATTGTACAGTCATCTGCAAACCAGCGTATCATATGAGTGTGTCTTGGTTTTAGTCCAGTATTGAATACTGCATCCCTCTAGGGTTAATGGATTAACCTTTTAGAGATAAAAAATGCATCTTATATGGCAGGAACATCCAAGGAGTTTCAACTTTGTTTTGCCAGTTAAGAAGGCACTTACAGTCTTACAAATAATGCCCAGTTCCTACTCTGTAAAAGTAAGTTGGTGTTAGGAAGGACATCCTGCAATAAAACTTGCTTCAAATTTGCTTGATAGCAACCAGAACAACATGCCATTAGATAGGTAATCATGGTTTTTGCAAGCATGGAAAATGATGAAGATGAAAATTAATTAAATAAACTTTCGATCCTTCAAGAGTATCCACATAAAAGTACTGGCAGCTAAAGAACCCACCCAAGAGCAAGAACATCAGTATATTGATAGTATTGTGCAGCAGTAGGATCTACAAAAATTTGTGTACTGTACAATCTTGTCTATGGGCTAAAGGAATTTTAAATGTGTGAGCCTAGAAAAGGTTTTGTCCCCTGATCTGAATCTTCATTGGACCTCAAGCTAATTCAACTGGATAAGAAAGTACCTGTACGGCTTGTAGCAGAAACATTATCCGTAACCTTGACTAACTTAATTAAGTATCCCAATCATGCCATGCCCTCTGGCAAAAGGCAGGCTCAGCTAGAGCATAGTACAGGACAGTATTGTGGTTTGGATCTCACAACCTCAATTTTTTAAAACTACTAAACATAACACTTGTCTTCTCATGACAATATCAAATATCCTTGCTATTTCTTACCCGAGTGTTCAAGGAGATTGACAATTTCGGATTTCTCAAGAAGTGCAGTATACTGAATCCCTCGCATCTCCAGCAACATTCGAATTTGAGAGACTGATAGATTTCTCAGAGGATTCACAATCTGTTAGAAAAAATATATAAATTAATATCTAACTTGCATAATAATACTGTACTGTATAACAATCCAATCTTCCATCCATGACACATATCAGCTCCATGGGCATAGGGCTAGGAACCACACTTCCTGTATTTGACCTATTTCAGACACACAACAATTTTTAAACCTGAAACACTGACAAGGGCAAACAAAAAAACATGAGTAAAGCAATATGATGAGAAACATCATTATGAAAAAAAAATATGTAAAAAGTAATGGAAAAATAACTTGTAGTGTCACACAATTTGTCCGTTCACTAGAGCGTCAGTGTGAGATCTGAGGTCGAGTGAGAGTGTGGGAGGGTGGCGGTCAACCGTGTAGTGTGCCCAGAGACGTGTCTGGTGGGAAACATTTGGCGCAAATTTAAAATAGTATGTATTTCCATATGACGCGCCAGATTGACCCCCGTAAAATAGGAAAGATTAGCTTTAAATTAATACATTGTCCTTAATTGTAGATGTCGCTATAAATCAATAATTTTAAATTGCATCACTGGAAATCGATGTTCTACTGTAGCTTGAAAAATCTACTTAAGTAGGAGAATCAAACATGTTGACGTCTAACTCTGAGATTATTCTAAAAGTACTGACCAGTAGGGTTAAGACTGAGATAAGAAAAGCAAAGAGAAATAATGAAGCAAAGTAGCAAGAGAGGTGAAGTTAAACCCTAGGGGATTCTTCCAAATGTACCAAACTAAAATATGAAACAAGATTGGACCAATACAGTCAGATTCCAGTGAACTAACTAATAACAACAGAGAAATGACCAATATTCTGAACAGATACTTTTCATCAGCTTTCACAACCGAAAATTTAAACATTATACCCGAGGCACTGACTTTCTACAGAGATAGTGAAGAAAATAGAATAAGCGAGTTAGTAGTGACAAGTAATTTTGTTAGTAAATAAATAAATAAACTAAAACCTAATAAGTCACCATGTTCCGATGAGATATTTGTCAGAGTATTAAAGGAATGTAAGGAAGAATTTAGTATGTTAAGCAAATATGTTTAAAATGTCATTAAAAACGGGTGTAGTACCAGCGTCCTGGAGGATAGCAAATGTGATACGGATATTCATGAAGGGAGATAGATCACGACTCACACACCCCAAAATCACACACACACCCTCCAACACCAACACACCCCTATCACCACCCACACACCCCAACATCTCTCTCACACACACACTCCACCCAGCAAAAACGAAGTGAAACAGAGAAGACAATGTAGTTTGCACACAGGGATCTAAAATGGTGATGACATACTGTATATTTTTTTTCAGGATAAAATAATCCCAAAATATGTGATAACAAGAATGGAAGGATGAAGAGTAGATGACAATGTTGACAAAACATCATATGTAACAAGCTTTCATATGGAACAGGAATGCATTGACTAGATTTTTTTTTCTGCAGCAAATTGTGAGAAATTGTCAGTTTAAGTTACACTTTGTGCATTTATATTGATGTACAGGGATGATTGATAAATAAGGAAGTAATGAACTACCTTACTGTAAATGAATGGAGCTGTGAGTTATTTGATATACAGAAATGTATTAAAATCACAAGAAATACCTGGTATGAGGTGTAGCCTGTGTCCCACCAGAATCCCAATTCAACTATCCATGTAACAGTGACCACCACCGCCAGGTAGAGAACAAGAAGTGCAGGTCTGCGCCACATCCTAGCAGTCTGAGTACTATCATGTAACTCACTACTGCATGTAAGCTAAAAACAAACAAATAAAAAAAACACAGTAAATTTAGAGTATTTTATGTATACGTATACAGTACTGTACATATTATATAAAGCAATTTTTTGCAACTGGTAGAATGATGAATCAAAATTGTGAACTCAAAGGGATGACTTTACCATCCTGCTGTATCCCACTTAGCAATAAGGTTCTGGGTGTACCCACACACACATTACTATACATTACTTTTGTTCTGTCACCCAGTCATTTTATAGTACACTACTTAAAATTATAAAAAATATATGTTAATTATAAAACAAATACTGTATCTGTTCTTCCCTTCTATAGTACTGTAGCTGGGTTATGCTCTCAGCCACACCTCCCCACACCATACTGTACTAAGTTTCACGCAACTAGTGTCAAATAATTCTTCACAGATTCTCTCAGTTTATGTGATAACTGTGCCAAAGAGCTTAAACTTGTTGATACATACAGTATATAGCAGCTACATGGTTGTAGTGACATAAGTGGCATACTGTAATTTAACTTAATGTATCATTAACAATGCTGTGCCAAAGCTACACGGTGAAAGAGCTGTAATTACATGCACAGTTCTCATGATAATTTCCCAAAGAAAATAAATATTATGTAAACTTAACTACAATGTGTTGCCGTTACATAGTAGCTATGCTGTGATTACATGTTGTGACACTTTTAAGTCTGAGTGTTTATGAGTTGGACATTTGTATCCCTAGAGTTCTTTCTATGTTTATATAGTACTGAAGTCTGTTAGATTTTTAGATCCAATATTACAGAATACCCAAGAAAATCTTGTTCATTATAATACAGCACCGTAATGTCTAAAACTTTATAATCACAACTAAACCAGCAACAATTGTATGTGGCCATAAGCAGTACAGTATTAGCAGGTGTGAGACATTTATTTTAAAATCATTATTCAATTAAAGTTCTCTCCTATCCTAATGGTTTTGTTGCCCATAAAAACATAGTTATAACATACTGTAAGTTGGATTTTATTTTATTTTATTTATTTTTATTTTTTATTTATTTATTTCTTTTTTTTTTGGGGGGGGTGGGGGGGGGTGTAAAAAATTCGGTAAATACAAGCATGGAAATTACTGCACCTTACTAACCAAAACAGGTCTTTCTGGTGTATTTCGTGGTGTTTCATTAGAATATGAACATCATTTCTATAGAAAATGAGCAGTTATGGAGATGTGACCCCCCCCCCCTCCACCCACTACCTACAAATTGGATTGCACAAAGTGGGCCGGGGGCTTTGATGAAGAGGGAAATTGTGGGATAAACCACACGCAAACAACTGACCAAACACAACTTGGCCTAATTTAACCTTACCTAAGCTCTGTCTTGGTGATTTTGTGTCTTTTTGTGCAATACTGTATGAAACATATCCATCTTCACAATAATAGTGTATTCCTCACCACACTTCAAACACTTTAGGGAAATTCTGTATACTGTATAATATTTGGCCAATCAGCATACGCCATAGTCATGCGCACCAATCAGCGTGTGCTGATGTGACATAATACTCGTGTGCTAATCAGCGTTCGCGGCCGGTTGGAGGATGGCGTCTGTGTGAGATGGATGTACATTGGCTGGCTGCCCCATTATTCAGCGCATTTTGGACAATGAAGCAGCAGTCGTTGTCATTTTTAGGGCTCATGGTTTCTTTGTTTCATCTGTAAGTGTCCGAGATGTAATTCCGAGTGACAATACCGTGTAAATTGCCATGCAAGGTACAGATACACCTCATTTCGTCACCAACCCAGTTTGTCACCAAAAAATTCATTTCGTCACCAATATCAAATCTGTTTCGTCACCACTACCGGTCTGGTGATGAAACAGTTGCTGGTATTAGAGTGACAAAATGTACATTATTATTTTACATGAATAGAAATTACACATGTTTACAGACATCTCGAGAATTAATGTGTTATTATTATACTGTACATAAATATTAATTAATTAATAATTGAATTGAATTGAAAAATATATTTAACCAGAAAAACACAGATGCAGAGTGGATAATACAAACAATATTAACATGGCTGAACCAGTTGAGAACCTGAGCTCTCTTGTAGGCACCTGATATATACTATACCCTGTACATTTATCTCAAGGAAGTATTATGTAACATTTAGTATCATCTGGAATAGTACACATACCCCGGTAGCATGGTGGTAATAAGAAAACGATTAAAGCAATGGAAAATAAACAAAATACAGAACAAATGAAGGTGATTTCTTCTTCTTCACCTTTAGTGCAGGTTAAGGTCAGACTGTCGGCAGTTAATTAAAGCTTTTTGATTATTTGATCTTTTTGATATGCCCAGCTTTACCAAGCCACATAACCTGTTGCATCTTAACAAAAAATATTGGTGACTACTACTAGCAAATAGATAACTAACGTGCATTTTAATTGAATTTTACATTAGTGATAAGACTGGTTGAAATTGTTACGTGACCAACTGCATATATGGAACGTGGCCCAGTATATGATCATGTGCGTAAACTCCTAGTTCTCCCTTACTTGCCTAAATGCCGCATCAGACCAGCATTTGAAGAACTACTGTTCAAGAAAAAGCACAACAATCAGAACTAGTCAAGAAAATCACTGATTATATGAGCTAAACAAACAACAAAGTCTGGTCAGTCAGTACCGGTAATTGGTGTGTTTCCGATGTCTGGTTAGAACAAATAACGATGTTGAGGGTGGGCACCACTGCATAAACCACTGAGTAGCAAAGAACAATCTCGCTGTATACCTCCTTGTCCCTCTTCTTCACAGAAAAGCCTCAATGGTTGATTTGCAATTGCAACTAGTTGCCGAGCGCAAGCTAAAATCGTGCGCATGAAAAGGAAAAATTACAAACAAGTCCGTCTCTGGAAGCTGTGGGATAATTATGAAGAAAAAAATATCACCACTTCTAATTTCCTAAAAATTGTCAGTGTCTTCTTCCAAGCTTGCATGGGTAATAACAGTTTTATTTTTAATTTTAGTCTTTCACATATTGTTTAGTGAGATGATTATAGGCGTATTAACAATGTTTTTATTTTTGTTTCGTTTTAGTCTTTAATAAATTGTTTTAGTGAGATGCTTGCATGAGTATTAACATTTTTATTTATTTTTTTGTCTTTAATAAACTTTTGTAATGAGATGCTTGCATGATCCAATGTATGTACACAAAGATAGTAAACCAGCCATTACGTCTTCACTGCTCCAGTGAATACACAATGAAGGTCCAACGCCCTCGAAATGGTGACGGGAATGAACGCGGTGACGAAACGGATAAAAAAAAGTGGTGACGAAATGGGCACACCCCTATGGTACTATTATAAGACAGACACTGACAAAGACACCACTTCCTCCTTCAAGTTGCATCACTTTATCCTCCTGTATCCCTCACTTACATTAAGTGTTTTGGACAATGGGAATTAGGTTAAGTTAGGTTAGGTTAAGTAGGTTAGGTTAGGTCAGGTAGGTTAGGTTAGGTTAATATATATTTTTTTTTTTCATTTTATTCCTTCATACTTTTCAAATATCTTCAGTATGCCTCATTTCCATCGGCAATGAAGGTTATATTTGTATTTAACATGATGATTTACACTAGAAAAACCTATTTTCAATATTCAGTTGCCTGGTGTCATTTTCTAAATATTGACCACTGCAGGTTATACTTACACCCGTTGTAGTTTTGGTAAAGGTGTAGTTTAGGGCTAACACCAGAAGGAGTTTGTTGATTTCTTTATTTTTGCTATACTTATTGTTTTAATGATTTTAAGTATATTAAAAGAAACGACAACTTTCTAGTAGAATGTTAAGCATATACTCTTTATTTACTCTATCCCGCTTCACAATTTTCCTCCCAGTGCCACTTTTTTGTTTACCTCGCTGAATCCATCCTCAAGAGACGTTTCCTAAATGATGGTGAACGCTTCCGCGAATTCCTCCTCGCCATTGCTGATGTATATCAACCTCAATATTAAGGTAAGTTGTTTAACACACATATTAACACGCTAATGTATAGAACCTAATAAACCTGACCTAACGTACCCAACCTATGGGCATGTTAGGTCAGGTTCTATTTATTGTCGTTTCCATTTCTGTTTAATTTTCCATTGTGCCCAGTACACAGTAAAGAGTATGGTATCAGTAATAACAGCTAAATGGTGTCCACTGATAACAAGCGTAATTATGTTGAAACAAATAAAATAAACTGTATAAATACAACAAACACCTCTCAACCAGGATTGTTATGCAGTGACAATTAATCAGTTCCCACAATCTGCAGTATTATAACCACCCAAAAGTCATGAATTCAACAGAAATAATCTCATTTTGTTCATATAAAACCAAAAAAGGTGATACAAAATAAACACAATGCCAAGGGGACAGAAAATCACCTTGTTTTAGAGCGGGTGACCTTGTAGTACTGGTGCCTGACTGCCTGCCTGGCTTTGTTTATGTTTAGGTCGTCTGCAAGAAGGGATATTATACATGAAATCTCTATCTTCTATTATACTTAGATAATTACATACATTCTGAAGTTAACGAGACTATAACAAATATTATTTATTATTATGTTTATAATGTTAAAAAAAGTTTGAACTATTTCTATACGAAGTAAAATAAATAAATTTCAGTAATGGCAAGTTAAGTGGAATCTGACCAAACATAATGCTCCTAGTGATGTAATTAACAAGAACCATGTACCGGAAACTACAAAATATGGGAGGATAGGTAAACACAATCCAAAGAGTTATAAAGGCCCATCCATAGCTGATTATGTTGTCCACTTTTATGCCAGTGAAACAATCTCCAACCTTATTGATATAGCATATAAATAATATGTTATTTTTAACCATTTCATTATTGTCATGGTCACAGTTGTACCAATATGCTAATTATAAGTTTATACCTATACCCATGGTTTCATATGACGCTCCACCGTCCACAAAACATGTGTGAAACTAATGAGTTACCCCTAGAGAGAGACGCGTTTTCCCTAGGGAGAGGTACAGCTTTCCCAGCCAGCCATTGCTGCACTGCCTGCTTCACATGTTTGAAACTGTCTCAGTACCAACCAGAACATGAAACTGATACGAATGAATATAGGTTCGAAGTAACAGACTCAAGGTCATACACCTGAAGCAGGCAGCGCAGCAACAGCTGTCTGGGAGTTAACAAACTTTTGGGTGAGACTGTGGGGTATGAGATGTTTGGGTTCACACTCAGGATGGGATGGAGAAAGGAACTCACAATGTGCTCTCTGTATACATGTTGTATTGGATGTACAATGCAGCTTGGTGCTGGGAAGGCAGCATGGTTACAAGCGTGATGTAGAGAGAGCTGGTTGGTGAGGGTGCTCAGAGGAGGACAGCTTGTGGGTCGCCATGCTCGCCGGCGGGAGCAAGGGCCGCCAGGCAGCGGCGGAGGAGGAGGTGGTGTTGCTGGCTGCGGCTGTAGCTAGAAGAAGAGAGCGGTCACCACGAGGTCAGGTCTTAAATAGCGGAGGTAGGCGTGGCTTAGTAGTTGACCTCCGTGATGTATGGCGGCGCTGGTTGACCTAGACCACGAGGCATACACTGGGGAATTCGTGGGGTCGGCTACTCAGCGACAAACAGCGTTTGTAGGGGAGAAATCCACTTCAAGACTCTACTATCCGTTTTCTCTTTAAAAGTCCTGAAGTCACTCTAACAATGTAAATTTTAATTTACGGAGTGGATATTTTGCCACGACCGGCCAAGTTCCTACTAACGCTATTTTACTGTGAGTGTGCTGTGATTGGCCAAGTACTTTCTGTTTAATATGACGGGGGTCCGCCCCCTTGGCTAGAAAGTTAGGTAATGTTAGGTGGGTTTCTTAGGTCAGGTTGTAGTGGATTTCTCCCCTACAAACGCTGTTTGTCGCTGAGTAGCCGACCCCACGAATTCCACAGTGTGTGCCTCGTGGTCTAGGTCAACCAGCGCCGTCCACGGAGCGGGGGTCAACTACTAAGCCACGCCTACCCCCCGCTATTTAAGACCTGACCTCGTGGTGATCTCTCTTCTTCTACCTACACCAACCAGCCAGCAACACCTCCTCCTCCTCCGCCTGCCTGGCGGCCCTCGCTCCCGCTGGCGAGCATGGCGACCCACAAGCTGGTCCTCCTCTGAGCACCCTCACCAACCAGCTCTCTCTACTCAACGCTTGTAACCATGCTGCCACTTCCCAGCACCAAGCTGCATTGTACATCCAATACAACATGTATACAGAGAGCACATTGTGAGTTTCCATTCTCCATCCCATCCTGAGAGAGAACCAAACAACCCGTACCCCACAAGGTTCTAGTAAATTTCGCCTTTTATAATGATAAGCTTCCATACACAACAGAAATATGGCGAGGTATGTTTACAGCTACACAACGATCAACAGACGGCGAAACAAATGCCAAATGCTGTCAGTCACGGTTGAATATAGTTCTCGTTTTGTTCACCGGTAATGGACGATTAGCCAGTCAGAGCGCATTCACGGTAAAATAGCATTTGTAAGAACGTTTTTTTTTTTACGGGATTAGCCCACCAGGGCACACATCAGGGCCTGGGAACAAAAATATACTGTAATAATAAATTAATAATAATAATAATGAAAATTATAACAAAATATTAAATAAATATATACAATAATAATAATAATAATAGAGGATCATAAGTAAATAAAAAGATAAATAGTGAGAAACGATATATGTATGATGTGTTGTCAAAGTAAGAGAAACAAGCGAGACCCTGCAATTGTGTGTAAATGAGGCAGAAAGTCAGATCAGCAACCTGGTGTCATGATCGTGATGACGGCTAACCTGAAAACCTTAAGGATTCATATTACGCTCAAACGTCCACAAAACCTTCTGAGTCCCCCAGTGGAAACGTCCCCCGTTTTCTCTGTTTCCTTGATGACGTCATCGAGAGGCCGTCTTTGTCTGAAGGGAACTTTGAATATAATCCGCGGATTTCGTAGCAAGACGCTGTATGTTGGGACCTGTTACCATCCAACCCTTTGTAATCAATTTAAATTTTGCTTTTGATAGCTCAGTCAGAGCATTGTTTGTGAAGATAATAGTAGGGAATGAAACCGAGTTCGTGGTCTCAGTTTCAACGTCAGAGTGTACAGTAAAGTAATTCATCGAAATAGAAGTAGGTGGAGTCCCTGACCTAGTTTGAGTGAGGGTGCCGTGGATATTTCAACCGTTAGTAAGTGCTCACCCCTTCACCCATACAGGTAGGTCATTCCACTCCGTGTTGTAATTCGCCCTTCTTTAAGTGATTTGACCCAATTAATAGTTGATTGTGCAAGTGTTACAGTAACGTAGTTGATATGCTTTGAGTGAAGTAATGTTTACGTCTTTAACGTCCCCTGAAACGTGATGTCGTTGTCACAGTAAGTGCTCGCCCCTTCACTCATACAGGTCCCTAACGCAGCCTAGGCCGTGTCTGTAGCGTGGATGTTGTATCCACTTGTCTGGAGAGATGTCCGAGGTCCAGTAGGATCAGTTATCTTCGCGAGACCCGACCGTCAGACACTTCAGTACTACCTATGGGCCCCATAGCTGACCAGTCTGACCCTAAAGCTCGGCCCGCGAGGTGACCCCGGAACACCAAGCCACACACAACTACCCGCCCCCATCATTGGTGGATGAGTGCCTAGCTCAGTAGGGCTATTTGTGTGGTTGTGTTATTTCACTGGGATCTTCAAAGTTCGTTGGGAAGTACCCCATGGCGGCTGCTTGAGTATCACTCCTGACGACTGAGTATTGTAGTGGCAGTTGCCCCTGGTCTTAATGGTGCAAAGTTACTATAAGAGTAGTGGTGTGAGTATGTTGAGCCTTAGGGCATAGTATCAGGTTTTGTCTGTTGGTACATATATTCTTCTCCTACCTCCATTTTAATGTTTAAATAAATATTGTATTTGTGTATTGTGTCTCTTATTTACCTACAGTATCTACCGTTATTTCTTCCCTATTACTTGATACTATCATTACATATACCCACGAGCCTCCTCTCGTCACGCTACCAATGATTGTAAGTATTAGAGAAAAAAATTGTTATAAGAGGCACAGGCTCTTTTACTGGGACTTGGTCACAATTTTTGTGATGCCATAACACAGCAGGGTCTACCATTAGATAATACATTAGTGTTTCCAATATCTTCCCAGGCTGTAATACTGTACCTCCCCGTTTCATAGCCGACTTAAATTTAAAAGATAACCTGTATGAGTAGCTGTAATTGTTGTCTCGGGAAGCTGATTTCCACCTGATAAATGGAATACGTACCGAGGTATCCTGTGAGCTAAGGAGTGTAACGAGATATAAAACTGTTAAGAGACGAGAGGTAAGGTGGCGTCACGGACTCATCGAGTCGTGATAGCTGTGTGCATGCCAGAGTAACTTGTATCCCCCAAGTGTTAAGAGTACAGTAATAAAAATTTCTGTACACAAGCAAGTGTACAGTACAGTGTACTTAACAATAAAAACAGATACATCAACTTGGGTAGATGATATAATGGAGGTGGTGGTAGAGGTTTTACATAGTGGGTGATGGTGTTGGAGTGACATCTGCAGTCATCAGGGGTGGAATCCATACCAGGGAGTGTGATATCTTGCATAAGGCTTAATTTTGCTCGCATTAATTGAATTCCTGGTAGGAATAGGGTCTTCTCATATGAGTGAATTCGCCTATGCTGAACTCGCATATAATGAGGACTTACTACAGTTTCTGATATCTCGCCAATATGTCAAGGGCTCGAGTCCTGCTTGGCCCAAACACAAGTGAGAAGGGTGATCCTCACTCCCAAACATCACAGGTGACTCGGTCTTTGGTTTTCTCCTGGATAGACTAACCACCTAAAAGGCTAGTAAGCCGAGAAGTGGAAAGAAGAAGAAGGAAAAAAAAGGTGTTACCTGTGTCAATTTAATCATTAGTGTTATATTTTTGGGAAGTTCAATTTGGTTTCTTAACTGAGAATGTTCAGGGCCTGTGACACCTTAATCATGGTTGAGAAGGTTCAAGCCTGTGACTTGTTTACCATAATTGGGGAGAGTTCAGGACTTGTTACTGGTAACTATGACTGAGGGGGGAGTTAAGTTGATCCCAAATTAAATATGTCTTCCTAAAAGTCTGTCATGCCAATTCTCTAATGCAGCTGTGTCAATGATACTGACTGGAAATGTTAACATTACTGTCACACTACAAGTCTTTAACTGCACTGACCGTAAATATACAGTACTGTACTTACAAACACATTTTTCAAAAGTATAGATTCAGCTCCCAGTACTAACCAAACCTGGCATATCAGTTTCATCAATGACAAACAGAGGTAAAAGAACAATGCACAAATAAGCACCACCTTTTCTTTATCCATTTCTACAAAATGTCTTGTATTGTTATATACAAAATAATACATAAACTTTCTAAAACACAAGTGTGAAACATTTAAAGAGTGCAAGTAAGTACCGTGAGAGAGAATATGTGTGTGTGTGTGTGTGTGTTTGTAATGGCAGAGGAAGGTGAAGTACTCTATAGCTTTAGTACTTAAAGAGCAAAGTGATTTTATGAATACAATACTTAACAGTGAGAACATCAAAAATGTAAAAGGTAAAGAGCTGCACAACTTACTTATTATAGATATATATATTCTTCACAAAACAATAAACAAGAAAGAACACATGATATATATTGACCTGTATTTCCACAAAGTACTTATACCAGTAGAGATTATATCAATACAGTAAAACCCTCTTAATCCAGACTAATTTCTATTAATCCAGATTGAGTCTGGATTTATATGAAATAGTCTAAATCTACCCGCACGGTGGCAAAAATAAACACTTGAATCACCTGAACCACTAACCAACAGTACAGTACTGTATAATATATATAATTCTTGTACATACTGGACATACAGTATTTACCACAAAGTTGGTGATGCTGTTGATGGTTGGTTTTTTCAAGTAATTGTAATATTTATCCACCAAAACTTTTGCAGACACACCTTTCTCATGATCTTCCAGAACTGCTAGCTCGTCCTTCAGGCTAAACTCCTTTCTGACTTCCTTTTGAAGTTGTCTTGCATTTTGAACCCATAGTAAGTAGTCCACAAAGTCACAAATACAGTACAGTAGTTGATAGAAATTAGAGAGATGCACACATGAGGGCTGTAGCAGCATGACTGGTGACAGCATTCGTGTGTGCCAAATTACAATCTCGATTCCATCTGGATTTTTCTCGGTTAATCCAGATTTTTTCTGGATTAAATATATCCCCTCCAGAAATAATTTTATCCGGAAATTAGTTTAAGACAGACTGAATTTCCCAACTAGTCCAGATTAAGATGGTTTTACTTATGTGTAACCTATTTTCTTAGGTACAATACAGCAACAGTGAAAGTACAGTACAGAAATAGAAATTGAGTGTTTTGTTATTTTTCCATATTCTTTTAAGAAAACCTATACCGTATTCAACGAGATGATTTTTTTACACTAGTCATATCTACTTATTGCACATGAACTTCAAAGATAAAAAAAAATTACTGGAAATAATTGGCCTATAGCCTGAACATACAGGTATATATTTTTTTCAATGTTAATTATTGTCAGGTGTTAAAAAAAAATTAATAATTCAAAATTATATCAGAAAACTTTAATGGCTGGTTTAACCCTTCCAGATACAGTGATTCATGTGTGTGTATCAGCTCCTACACAGGGCAAGTGATGAGGTGACTCAAATAAGGAAATTACCCCACCTGAAAACTGAGTCCACTTTCCTGAAAGGCATTAACTGTTTACACTGTTTCTGTAGTAAACAGGGAAAGTTATTATCATGTGAACTGCCTTTAGGAGACAGTTGGTGGCTGAAAGACTCCACCTCAGTACTGTACTTTATATGATTTCACCCCATAACACAACGTCCAAACTCTTTACCCACACAAGGGTGGAAAATGGTCGTAAAACACTGAAACTGGTGATGATAATATTACTGTTAAATTTTTATTTACTGTCATTATTATACATCATTTTTATTAAAAATAAATACAAATAATTATTATCAATGTACCTGAAAGGGTTTATTAGTTCTTTAACTTATTTAGAAAAAATAATCATCACTTAGTCAGAAAAGAAGTCATCCTAATGTTATAAACCATTGGTGAAAACCCTTTTCTAAAAAAAAAAAAAAAACTTATTCAAATACTATGATTCTTTTAAGTACACAGGATAATGATGTAAGCTGATATTACACATTAAGCCTCAGCCATTTCATCATAGAGCTAACCTAAGTCCTACAGAAAATTTGTCATATCAAATAACAATAAGGGTGAGTCCACTGTCATCGAGTCATTAACTATAAAAAACTATGATAATGTTGAAAATTACAAACTATTCCATTGTACTGTATGTTTAAAAAAAAATTATTGCAAAAGCCTGTTCACAGCTGTTCAGTTAATATCAATAACTCCTTTATTTAGTGAACAGAAAGAAAGTGATCAGAAATAAAACAAATACCAAGGAAATTATTACAGAAAATCAGATAAAAGAAGTAAGCGGACTTGAAATTTTCCTTCTACAATCCTCTATTGCACTTTAAAACATAAAAGAACAACACAATATCAATAAACATTAGCACTAGTGAATGGTACATAGTAAACCCTAACAGACAGATAATGCCACACTATACAGGGAATGACTCGGGGAAATTTGGTCCAACCTGCTCCTTAATCATAGCATAATACCCTCCTCCTTGCTCTCATGCTTCAGTACAAGAGCACTTAAGCACATTACAGTCCTTTTCTTCGGTATCTCCTTTGTTACTTGATCTACTTTAGTTAACACCTTAAGTCATATTTTGCACAGCTTTCTTCTCCTGAACTGAAATCATATCACCTAATTTTTGTTGAAAAATCTGCAATTCTCAACAGTAATGTATAATGTAACAAAAACAACATGTAAAACAAAAGGTTATAAATATGTTTAAAGTTTCAACTCATTAAATTACTACTTTAACATAAATCTATGCTATGCCATCCATACAACAGAGTAAATCTCATAAAAAAGCATTTTGAAAATATGCAGAGGAAAAGAGGTTGCGGAAGTCACAACTGGGTTTCTGCTAATAAGGATTAATCTGGTAAATCTTCATCAACTTCTGAGAAATGACATAAGCTTAACATTTAGATCCTCGAAGTAATTATATATTCAACAGAAAATTTCTTACGCAAGTGCACAGGCGGGTTGAGAAAAGTACCGGTTTGGCCTAGGGAATTATCAGCAAGCAGTATTATATACTAAGTACAGTATTTATAAATGTATTGCAAAGATACTGACTTGTAGCTTTTGGAGAAGCTACTACTAAAAAGCAGTCAGTTTCTAAAATTATATTATGATTGCCTCTAGCCCCATATATACTACTCTTTACTTATCACACACATTACAGTGCACAACAGTAAAGATGTAAACAAAATCATTTTTTGAGAAGTTTATCCTTTAAGATTTAAATCTAAATCAAGAGGCTTGTGTTTCATGAAACCAAAGTCCACAGTGATGCCAACCCCAAAGAAAAAAAATCTTTAATTTCTTAAAACATGAAAATTTGATGTACTGTATTACATCATAAACATAACTAAGATTTATGAAATAACAATGAATCTTTTGTTTGTTTTCTTCATACTGTATGTACAAAACTGACAGTTTTGTACAAGACAAGCATCTGTATTTTATCTCATTTGTTATCAGCTTCAAATCATTTGATAAATGTCATTTATCAGATGGTGTATACCATTTTCATCACTATTTCCAGATGCCTAAAAGACATTTAAGACTAGAGCAAAAGCATTTGTAAAACAATGACTCCATATCATATGACATTTTTGTATAACATATTATAACCATAATGACTAAATAAAGAAACACTGGGTCTGCTTTGGATGTACCATCATGAACATGTCTGTTTTACATCTATCAAAGTTTGATGTCCTGAGATTCAGTTCATATAAAACTCTAATTACTTTAAGTTTAAGAAATTAAGTTTACAAATTAAAACCATTGTATTATTTGTCAGACACCATACTATGTTGAGTGTGCCACATCCATGTTCATGGGAGTACCTGTACCATCACTACTTTGGCACTCGGACTTAACCTAAGAATTGGCACCCACTTTCACATACACGTATGTTAGTTTAACCTAAAATTGGCACCTATTTTCAAATACATACAGTAATCTTAATAGCTATAAAATATTATCAAGCAACTACCATGAAATTATTTATGATTCAAAGTAACCTGATTTGAGTGAACCTCAATTAAAGAGAAAACTAAATCAAGGTATTTCTTTAAATACTGTAATAGTACTGTACAGTATATGATTTCATAAATAAAATATCAAGTCAACTGATACATAGTTTGATCTTCAATTTTCAACAATAACTACAAATATTTCATAGATACCTGAGGATAACTTAAGACAGGTTACTCAACACATTAAAAAAAAATACAGTAATTCGGAAGCAAGTATAAATTTTAAATTGTGTGAGAATCCAATGATTGTGTACTAATTATGAGCATTCAGTTATTCTTGAGAGTAAGTACAATAAACACAAAACCTAGTAGTGATACATGGCAAAAATTAGCATTGACATAATACCCAATCAACAGCATCTAATGACCATGCTTATTCTTACAACTTCAATCCATCCTTGTTTTATCTTCAAAATTTCTTCCTTAGATGATGTGAGTGAAAAAAAGACCATGGCTTGAACACTTACATCCTTTTTTTAGAGATTCAGGTCTGTTTGTCTAGTTTGCCCTTAATGCTCCACCGTCACACCTTTTCAGTCTCAAGTTTTCATATATTCCACGTACACACACTCCAAAAGTATCTTTACGGAGAGGTACACTACAATTAATTTCAAAATGAACACTGCAACTCCTGTTCTCTAGGTAGGGTTGTCAAAATCCTTCATTCTTTGTATCATATTGTCTAATACAAAATTGTAAAGATATTTTTGGAACAAAAAAAAAACAAAAAAAAAACTCCCAGGCTTAAGCAGCACTGCAAACTGGAGAGGATTGTTCTTGAAGCACCTTTTAGAGGCCAAGCTCATGTTAGTTGTCTCATTATGGGTTGCCTACCGGATGGTTCAATGTCTTCAGAGTCCACTAACATCGATTTGTTAAATCAATTTTGGATATACAGTACTGATCATCCTTCTTTGCCATCACACTATCAACTTTGAATGAGTAGTATATGGTGCAACAGTTTACCCTAGAGGTTGAAAGTCTTAATAGAGTTGTGTAAGCTATATCACCACTCAACACACTTAAGTCTCTGTCTCCCATTTTTAATTCCAGGCCAGTCCTCCATATCCTTGGCTGAAGATCAGCTCCTCTTTGTTTTGCTTATATGTACAATATTCTACGAAACCTCAGTGTAAGACCATCTAGACATGTCAATGATCTGCTGGCTAAACCTATCACAGTTCTCAATGATATACAGAATCAGACGAATTTTAGTTCCTACTTATCTCAATTTAAAAACTTTGTTGATATACCCTGCATGTTACCAACACCTGCTGAGTCCAGGTTAAGGTGCTTAAAGTAAATTGCTTTAAGTCTAGCATTTGTGAACTAATTGTCATAAACACTATCACCCAGGACACATATTTTGTAGCTTGTTAATTGTAAGGGCCAGGACTCACTCCAGGTGGGATGCATAAGATAGACATGAACAGGTAAATGTTTAGAAGCTAGATAATCCCTTCTGGTTTTAACAGATTTCCTACATAAAATCCAATGGAATTCCTGATGCATTTAAATTACTTGCATTTTGCCTCTGCTAAATAAATCATTTGAGACCAACATTAGGATGGAAAAGGAAGTGATGGTATTAACCCAGGCTGACATAATAAGGGTTTGTTTGAAGACAAGGACCCCCAGTAAGTAGTCAATATTTCAAGAACAGGCAGGCTTAAGAGTCGTAGCCTGAAATGTCATTCTTGTTGTCAAGACAAGTTTACATAAAATTACACTTTCACTGCATTGATTACATTTTTGCCAAGTATATTTTGTGACAATAACTGCTAACTTTGCTTGCATCTAAAATATTAATTTCTAGTAAAATTGTCCTTGTGACTAAGATCTGTGTTATATTACTAAGAAAAATGCAAACCTAGCGTGGCACAATATACTGTAACACTACTGTACCTTCGTTCTTAAAATACTCAAAATGTCTGAGATATCTAAGTACAAAGTTAATAAAATAAGATTCATTTTATCTCTGAGAATTCAAAATTGCAAACTGGTAATATTAAGTATCTTACTTCACTCACAAAAATCCATTCATTGTTTTTAACACTGCAAACCTGCTATACTGCAACTCAATTGACTAATAGGACTAAAATGAGGGGTTGATCATGAAACTCTTTCCTTATAACTGAGCCTGGACTGAATAACTCACAGATGACCAGCTAAATTTTACAGTATGAATACCAAAGTAACAACATAAGTGGTTGAAACTACTTGAGTGATAAGTTCAAAATCTTCCCATTACCACAATAGTCCTTAAAAAAGGCTCTTACAAACATCGGCTGCTTGTTAGAAGCCTAGCTAAGCACTCCATGACCCTCATTTGGCATTGGTTACAAAAAAAACACAACTCAGTCTCTCAGTTTCAGCTAATCTCAGTTTAATACTAGGTGAAAAAAACCAGAAGTTAAATATGTTACAGTAGAGTCACTCAGAGAATAATGTAATGATGACAGATCACAATAAGCAGATGGGTCAAAGGTAATAACTATTATTAACAGCAAAAGCAACACTAGAAAGAAGTACAGTGTAAAAAAAGAGGGTAACCAAACCCAAGGTGATTAACCTCAACATGAAGCTGCCAGAGAAACTTAACCCATTACTGCAGTATGAGATATGCTAACATTATTACAGTACAACAGGTTTGCAAAGCTGTAGCCTTATCAATAGAATGACACCATCTTACCATATTACCGGGTACTTGTCCATGTCTGTTATTTACTCAACACTCTCATTCATCTTCTGTTATCTAGATATTTTCCCTGTGGCTTTGAGAAGCATACTCAAATTATCTTGAGCACTTTTCAATGTCGGGTTAAGTCTCAAAGCATGGATGTAAGACTTTTCTGCCTGTTCATACTTACGCCAACGGTGATACAGAACACCAAGATTAGCCCAGTAGTTGGCGTTGCTTGGATCAAGGTTTGTGGCCTGAAGAAAATGAGATTCAGATTCCTCATATCTACTCAGCTTACCGAGGGTGTTGGCCAGGTTGAAGTGTAGAGCTGGTTCATTTGGAAGGTGTCTGAGGAAGATATCAAATTATATCAGCACTCTCAGATTTGATCAAGTATTTTCTGTATTTATAACATTCTGCTCTTCATGACTCAAAACCATGCTTCATTTGAGGATGTAATTCATGGATATTCTATAAATAGTCTATGGATCCAGCTGCCTTAGAATGTATATAACCCCTTGGATAGAGCAGGCTTTGCCAAGGAAGTTCCAAATAGAATATCCTAGCAGCTACTAACTTAATGATGTCTCTTAGGCTACAAAAAAATGTTAGGTGAATGAGGATGTGCAAATAAATTAAGTAAGTAATGGAACCTTAATGCTTTATCTGCAACTTCAATGGCTGGTTGATAAAGTCCTTGTGAGTCCAGGAGGATGAGCATGTTAGTCCAGGCCACAGCTAGAGAGGGCTTGAGGGAGGTGGCATTGGTCCAGGTGGCTAGAGCAGCATTGTGGTCACCCTTTTCCAAATAAAGGTTGCCCAAATTGTAGAGGCAGTCTGGATACACCTGAAATTAAAAAGAACTATTAGAAAGCAGGTAGCAGGGAAGAAACATACCCCCCCCCCCGCAATTTTTTCCTGATAATTTGCAGTTTCATGATAAGTGAGATGATGAATTTATGATGCAGTGTCATGCATAATTTAGGTTTTATTGTCAATGCATGAACTACTACTTAACGGAGTAAAATAGTGCAAAGAAGTAACACTTCCTTGTTCTTGTTGATAACTGACACAATAGTTAACAGGCCACACCTGGCATAGAGATCTATGAAAATTGGAAAAATATCATAAAAGGCGACAATATTCCCGAGCAAAGGTGTTGCCTTTGGCTGTATGAAGATGGAGTTTTATAGTGATATTCGTCAAATTAATACATCTATGTATGGTTCCCCCCACCATCCCCCAACGTGGCCTTGGTAAATTATTTGTAAAAAAGGGGGTAGGAAATAGTGCAAAAATAGCTTTACATATCAATTGCTGGCAACTTAGTCCCTCTCAAGAGCATAGTGGAAGATGCAACACTCAGAGCTCTGTGGGCTAGCAGCCCTTGTCAAGAGAGAATATCTGTACTCAACTCTTATGCACTTTACCTGTCTGTACCTAAAAATAAACTTTTCCAACATTGAGATAGGAATTTCTTGGCCAATATTTGACCGATTTCAATTAACAAAAATTCAGCACAAGAAGAATTTTCCTCAGCTTATTTACATTTTCCAATTTCTTCTATTTTTGAGGCTTTATTTTTAGTTGAATATTTTATCTCGATATTTTGACGACAATTTCTAGTTTGGAAACTTTATATCCCTAAAAAAGCCAAAAACAGACATATTGTTAAGTAAAGCTCATGGACAATAATAGATGTCCTAGCAATATAAACTAAAGGCAAAAAAGAAACAGCAATGGAGAAATTCTACCTCAAAAATTTAGAAAAGGGATGAAAAATGAAAAGGTAGAAGGCATTTAGGGGGCTAGAATTGATGTACATACATGTGATCCTTGAATGATAAGAATATCACAACAACGAGCAAAATCTAAAGCACATACGCCTTTGTTTGGTTACGTTATCGGATCCTTTATTGAGAAAAATGGTGTGATAGCTTCTGAGTTTTGGTGGGCTGATGTGCACACAATCTGGTACACAGAGATCACTTATTGGAAGGTTTACACCGATGACAAAATATCTTCAGTAAAGATAGGAAAGGGAATCAACCCAGAGTATCAATGAGTGCCCTATCCAATAGACTCAAGGACCGCCAGAAACATGAGTACATTATTTACTATGTATGGGATATTATTGTTGTTTTGTATGGGCAGGGTTATGCTTTAACCTAACCTCAACTATGGAATTAACACTGCTCTAGCATTCTAACAGAGTCCAGGAACATATATAACCTGTTTGTAACTTGGGGGACTATCTATAATCACACTTGAATCACAATATAGAGTATGTTACCTATGACTCCTTGGCTACATTAAACACCCTACATGAGGGCTTAAAATCACAAGAAAATACCAACTGTCCACAAGGTCAGAGCAGGAGCAGTGTACCTGTACAGTACTCTAAAAGGGTTCTGAAGAATTGTCCCGATATAGCACTTCACAGCTGATGTCAAAAAGCAAATTAATGGCCTGGTGCAAATGTGTGTTTAAGTTTGGCAGCAAATCCCTTCAGCCTTCTCCCTCTTTAAGAGACCTTCCTGTGGCTGTCTTTCAAGCAGACCTTATTTTCAAATTGACTCATTTCTAGATCCCAGTCAGAAGTCAAAGTCCTGGGCCCGGCTTTTGACCCATAATACTTGCTGGATGTATGAAATTGTGCAATTCCGACAAAAAAGTTATAAAATCCAACATTATAACAAGTAAAGACCTTGAAAACATAGTGCTACTTACTGATCTATGAGTGAGAGCAGTGAGGTAACTATTCTCAGCTGATCCATGGTCACCCAAAGATGCTTGAACAATGCCTAAGTTCATCCAAGCTGCAGCAAAGTCTGGTCTTAATGTGGTGGCTTGTTGAAGTAGATGTAATGCCTCGTCAAGATGCCCTTGATCCTGCAAATGACAAATGCATCCTAAACTCCTGCTGAGTACACTATACAATCCAATGATAAGTTTATCTAACTACAACACTGCCTCAAGACAGTTTATGGTATACCTATAAACAATAATAATTAAAGCTACTTTACACAACACTGACCTTGAGAATGTTAGCAAGGTTGTTCATGGCCTGGTCGTAGTCTGGATTTAGTCGTAGAGCCTCCCGGTATCTCCTCACAGCTTCCACTACATCGCCAGTATCGGCAGCAACTTTACCCATGTTGTAATGAACCTATTTACAATATTAATCAATTTGTCTGTTACAGTATGTTAATCTTCTGCCTCATGCCTCACACAGGGAGATAAGAGCTACACTCACAATTCTCAATAACTACTTTGCAATTCACATCATTAAAAACTCTTAATTTATTAGGTACTAATCATAAAAGAAACTTAGTGTGTAAGAGACCCACAGTTAAAAGAAAACTTAATTTAAAAACTAAATTTATTTAACAGATGATATATAATAAGCCTCTTTAAATCCTTTAATCTCTTAACTATCTTATTTCTGTGACCTAAAACCTTTAATCCTCTCACAAGAAAGAGCTACAACATACAGTGCAGTACTGACCTTAGCATTTAGTGGACAAACATCAAGACCGGAGCTAAACAGTTGTTTCTCAGTGAGCCAGTCACGACTTCTTTGCTGGCAGCGCAATACAAACACCACCACCAGGAACATATATCCCACCTGAAGCACTCTCTGCCAAGCACAAAACCACATAAATAAATACGGTAATGCAAAATCATGAAACGTTTGTTAGTCATGACTATCTTACATTGCAAGATTTATGTAACCCACTGTATCATACTGTAATTTCAATTTCTATATCTTACCTTATTCACCTGGCCAGCTACACCAAGTTCCCTCATACCCGTCACCACAAGAATACAGAAGCCAGCAGCAGGCAGGTACAGCACGCGCTCAGCTATCACAAATCCTACCCGAAAGAAGAGGTTTGTGGCTGGTAAGAATGGCACTATGCCCATGGCCAACCCCATTAGCACACATCTGCAAATAAATGTTACCATAATTATCAAATTAGAAACAATAAATACTATGAATGATCTTCCGTAGATTAATAAGGTAATTAAAACTTCTTTATTCGAACCCAAAAACATAAATATCTATTCACTTGTCCCTCTCTTTACATGATTTATTAGCACACATATTTGTTCATGTACATTTGATCTTTTAACACAGAAACTTCGAAATGCACAATATTAAGACTATCAATTTAATAAAACAATGGAAAAATCATATTTAAAAAGGTCAAATCATATACGTAATATACAGTGTACAGTGATATCCCCGTTAGCAGGAACAATTGGTGCAGAGCACTTCCGGGAATGAGAGATTTCTGGGTAACGAGACGACTCTCTCAAAGCCGGAAAACATCTCTCATCCCCGGAATTTTTTTTCGGAAGTTTCAGAAATTGCCCATTACATCATCTCTTGAACCCAGAATTTTCTGGGTAACGGAAAATTTTTCTTGAAATTTCCAGAAAATGCGCCTGATTTTCATATCTCAAACCCGGAAAAAACTCCCTCAGCTATCGGGAATTTTGTTCGGAATTTTCCGGAAAGCATGCCCCTCAGAAAATCGTTCCCAAAGCCGGAATTTTCCGGAAAATTCTGGCTTTGGGAACGATTTTCCGAGAAAACTTCAATTCCGGCTATCGGAGAGTTGCGGGTTTGAGGGATTCTGGCCAACGGAGATATTACTGTAGTCTTATACTGTAAAACAATTCATGCATGAACAAGCTTGTTCCTGCACAACCCATTCATGCTACTGTCAAGCACTCACACTCATGGAGTACTGTATTGTTCATTGCCACAGTTTTTGTATCCCCCAACCAGTCTTCAGGTGCCGTGCAAAGCGCATGCCCCAAGAATACATTCCAAAAGGTAGACAACCCCGTGGTTTGTCGATCTACTGTTTTCATCTTTTATCTTGCATTAAGCTTTGGCAAAAACATATATCTTTTTAGTTTTTTACTTATATTGTACACCATCCCCTCCCCCCAGTCCATCTTCAAGTGTGGCATGAAATGCACAGCGGTGTACACTGAAGATACTTGTTTGGATTGTCTCTTTTGCATCATGGCACCCACCAGACAGCCTACAAGTTCTCCTGTAACCCAAAATACTACTGTACCACAAAGAAAAAGGAAGTAATGTTTCTGCTGCACACCAAGTATGAGATAATTCAACAATTGGGAGTGAGGACGCAGCAACAATGCTTGCTAATTCATGCATTCAAGCATTCACACAATTAAGAGGAATACACAAAATGTATAACGAATGTGCCTCATTTGTCTTCACTATCTGCAAAGGTAAAGGCAAGAGAAACTAATTTTTTGATAAATTACAGTATTCAATATTTCTGTTGTTGTTATATACAGTACAGCCTTTTTTATTTAATTTTTGTACATAATACAGTGTGATATATTTGGGGGGTCTGAAGGGCTCTAGAAAGTAATTACCTTTTTATATAGAGTAAAACTGGGTTCATTTCACATGGATTCGACAAATATCTCTTTTTACGAAGAAAACTTCTTGGTGTAAAGTGAGGGACTAGTGTATCTAAGGAATTTCAAAATTATTTCTGCATACCAAATAACTAAATATCAAAATTTTATTATTTCATGACAACTAAAACATGAAGACAATTATATACATACTCATAAGAAAATACATTTGACAATCAATTTCATAAACTGATCACATTTTCCCTGGACAGTACACAAGACAAAATAAAATCAACGAATATTATGCAATTCCCAATAGGTGAAGTGACCTCTATGTACAGAAATTATTTGCTAATCCAGGGACTTATAATGTGAAAATTGATCAGCCCTACACATAGCTATATCACTGATAAATATCCTACACCCAGAGGCCTATGCAGGACCAACCCACTTCCTAATTTAGAAGCCAGATCTCTTACTTCTGACTCTGAATGTCCCCATGCGTATGTATTGGCAAAATATTGTTTTATCTAGTGTTGGCTTCATACAGTATATATGTAATGTACATTTCTAGCTATGCTCTCATAATCAGCATGCATCATTTGTTCAGTGATATCAAGAAGAAGCTTTCAGTAAAATACAGGCATACATTCAATAAAATTTATGAAAAATTTCATAATTCTGAAATATTGGCACTTGTAGTTGCTCATGATGCACTCTATCAGTACCACCTTATCCATAATGAGGCAAAAGCAGTGCCAGATGGAAGAGAAAGCATAAGCTCTATTTCTGTAGCAAAAACTGGATTTCTGTACCATAACCCATACCTCTACAGCAATGTGATCTCCACTATAAAATCTGACTGTGAATTCAAATATCTTTCTGCCAACTGCTACATACTCTGTAGGACAAAAAATAATTGAAATCATATCTATGGAATGCAGAAAAGGTTGAAAGTTTTTGTTAATGCTCTAAGTAAGATAGTACAGTATTAAGCTATAATTACTAAAGTACAGTACTGTACCACATTAAGGGTAGAAATCAAAGACCCCCCTACCTAGAGGTCTGACTCCCTCTGCCTTGGGCCATTCCCCGCCTCAGCAACATTATGAATGAAACCCACAGAACTGGGAGAGTCAGCAGTCTTGGGTCGCTGAAGTTTACAATGACTGGCACACAGCCCATAGACCAGTCAAAACACAGCCAAATTGGTAGAACCAGAAGAAGAGCGTTCATGCTGTATGTATACTGATAATTCAAACCCTGCGGAGAAGATACAGTATATTGTTTTCAGTACATTCATGTATAAAATGAGCAGCTTGTAAATCATTATCTGAAGATACAAAATATTTATGGAAAGGCAAAGCAATTCCATGAAGCCACATGCAAGCTCAAGATGCAAATCTCAAATACAGTATATTCTGGTTTTACGCGGTTAATTAAACCCACGGAGGTCCGCGTATAAAGCAAAACTCGTAAAAAAATAACAGAACCTATGGGATTAATTGAAATAGAGACCGGGCCGACCGCCAGACTGCTCTTTTCTTGGCTATCGCCGACACAATACGTACTTTGTAGTAAAAATAACATCTTAATTTTATGATGGCATGCACACACAATTAATATATAAGAGAAATATCAATAATATTAGGTTTTATAACACTTACGTTAGTAGAAGAGATGGCTGGGCACACGGGGATGGGGGGTTGGTTCCGAGGCAGAGGGCAGATTATTGGCCCTCACCTGTATCTCTATCCACCTCCTCGTCAAACCCCTCGAAGTCCACTCACTATCACTGACTTGGGCTGGATGTGGTGGTTGGTGGGTGAAGAACTCAGTGATGTTTTGTTGACGGCTAGCATCGATGTGGTCGTGATACAGCTGAAAATAGGGCTCCTGGCATATCAACAGATGGTTATTAGACACTTCGTAGCGATGATTGACTGGGTCTTTGGCAAGGATGAGCTTCATTCTCTCAGCTAACTCGATGACTTCCTTCACATCAGCAGGTGTTAGTTTCTGCTCTTGTTCTTCTGTAACACCTCGCTGCTCACTGATGTCATCATCTTCCAACATCTCGTCCGCAGTCACCTCAGGTTGCCTGATTACCTCCAGGATGTCGTCGTTGGTGGTCTCAGAGAAGCCTGCAGCTCTAACACTTTGTGCAGCCTCTCTTGCATTCTCCAATGCCATAGCAACAGACTGAGCCTCGCCATCCACCACTTGCCTCTGCCTCCCACCTGGGATACCCTCCAACACATGCCGCCACGCGTTCCGAATCGTTGCCACAGATAGCTGTCCCCATGCATCCACCAAGAAATCAACAGCCTTCTTCAAGTTAAACTCCTTCCAGAACTTCTGGACCCGCACTTCATGGTCCGCCAAATCTTGTTCGTGTTCCTCGTCCTCGCTCTTGCTGTCAGTGCCACTCTCTAGGTTCTGCAGTTCATCCTTGGTGTTGGTGACGTCGTTCAGGAGCCGAAATTTCTTGGCGGAGAAAGCAGCCTTTATGTTGCAAATCAACTCCTGATCCATGAGCTCGATTAACGATGTAGTGTTAGCGGGAAGGAAGACCACTTTTATGTTGGTGTGACGATCCAGCAAAAGGGGCCAGTGTCCTGGTGCGTTGTCGAGGAACAACAAAATGTTGAATGGCACATTATTTTCCACGCAGAGTTTCTTGACATCAGGAACGAGACAGTTGTCAAACCAGGAGAGGGACAGACCAGAGAACATCCACGCCTTCCCTGAGGTCAACCAGTGGACATTTAACTTGCTCATGTCCATATTCTTGTAGGCATGCGGCTTGTGGGCTTTGTGGATCACAGACAACTTCAGCTTAGCGGTGCAGGAGGCATTGGTGGTGAACAGTACAGTGATGAGCTCCCTCTGCATTTTGCGTCCCCGATACTTGCTAGCAGACTTGACTACGAAGTTCTTGGATGGCAATTTCTTCCAGTACAACCCAGATTCATCCATATTGAACACTTGGTCGTCGGTGTACTGTCCTTCCTCCATAATTTTCCGTAAAAATCGGGGAAAATTCCTGGCGGCAGCCTGGTCGGCACTTGCTCCTTCTCCGACTATCTCAATATTTGTGATCTTGTTGCATCATTTAAAACCTTGCAGCCACCCAGCGGAAGCACTGAAGGGCTTGGGCTCTGCAACCCCCATTTATCTTGTTACTGCTGCATAGAGTTCTCGGGGGTAGTCCTGCAGTGCCAGAGTGTCGACCGCCATGTTCCTTCTTGACTGACAAATAATGTAGCTTACCAACAAACTCTCGGTCTTCAGCAGCACCTTATTGTGGCAATATTTCACCAGCAAGGCACCTACAGACTTGGTAATGTTCATGTGTTCATTGATTTTGCCGGCATCCTTCTTGATAGTGCGAATCGTCGATTCATTCACTTCATATTGTCTGGCCAGATCCACCTGTCTCATGCCCTTTTCTAACTCCTGGACGATCTTGTACTTTACCTCATAGCTTCAGGCGCGTCGCACCTTCTTGGGCTCGGGGCGGCTTGGGCCAGGTAGTTCAGGGCTTCTCGGGGGCTGTGGGGGTCCAGCGGAAGCCATTGTGTATAAAGAAAAAACAAAACCGGTTCCTGGGCACGAGTGAATATACGCGGGGACAGTCAGACTGGCGTGGCGGTGGTCGAGAGCGCAGGTGGCAGCGGTGGCAAGGTTAAATAGACCAATCACAGCACGCGGCGGAGGGGGTGCGTGGGTGGTAAGGATACGTGGCCCAATCACAGTCCGCGACTTCATCGGCGCGAGTCTGACGTCAGCGGCCAGCACCTTGCCCCGCCGCTTGCCGGGTATATGATGGCATTTACCGCGTAAATAATAATTATCGTTTCTGGACAGGTGCCGCGTAAATGGCCGTCCGCGTATAAAATATCCGCGTAAACCCAGACTATACTGTACACATTTTTTATATTGTTATGCCAGAGGAAAATGTCATTATTTGTAGTTTACATTTAATCTGGATACAATTTTAGCTTTTCCTTGAAATGTGTTGTAACTTGCTTAGATTCTTTGAATTTATTTCTTAGTACTGAATATGCATTAAGATATATACAGTACAATATAATGTACTGTTAGTATATAAATTTTAATATTCATACCAGTGTTTCTATGAGTCCTATACATTAATAGTGTTTTCTTGAATGACATAACTTGATACTATAGTAAAAGTTATGAGGTAGGATAGTATTGGGTAGTAGAGGTCTTATTAGGATATTAGAATGGAAGTGTAGAGTAAAACATTGAAAGGCACAGACACTGAACATATACCACCTGCTACTGCATATAAGATGGCTTTTTGGCCACAAACATAAACACACACATACAGGTATAATCAAGGGAGGATGAAATGTAAATAAAACATGGCCAAATGAAAACTGATGATGCCTGTGTAAAGGAAGAAAGCACTTTACTAACTTGATGCTCTCCACCTGGCAGCTACCATTATTGCTCAAACCATTCTGGGTCTAGAAATTTGCAGTAAATATTGACTGGATGCTGGGGGCTGATTGTATGTGGCACCCTATCCCTCCCCATTAAAAAAATCTCCTTTAAATGGGTGGAATGGAAGCAAAGATTGCCTTCAGCCTCCAACTGTCTATCTCAGAGTTATGCCTCTCTCTATCCTGTGCTAAACAGTGTTGAGCAAAGTAATTTGTCAGTAAATAACAAGAGTTTTCTTTGTGTACCTTGATATATTTGTAGTTTGTATCATTAAAAAAATCTGAGAGTAGTTAAATGGATACCAAAACAAATGCAAAATAAAAAAGTATGTATTAAAGTATCAAAATAATAAAAGTAAATAATAATTTCTGTTATCGCCGCCCCCTCATATGCCGCGACCTGTGACCTCGCCAGTTGGGTGGATGCACAACAAGTTGTTTAGATGTTATGACCATAAATAGGGCTGGGGATGCCTGTGGTTGGCAGTATCAGCCCAACTCCCTTTGAGCGTACACATTAGCGATACTAGCTGTTAAGTGGAGCTATAAGACCTCACACGTGAGTGAAAGAAAGCTGTGATTATTGGTATTATGGTGAAATGTTGTGAACTGCATATGTGCATAGCATAAGGCAATTTGGACAGTGTATTTACTAACTGATGTATAATGTATACATGTAATGGAATGTAATGAGCAGTTAACGAGTGTCTCATTCTTTACAGGTTTTGACCAAATCAATCAATAAACATCGAGGGAGTCCCCGTTGCGGGTTTCTCTCATCCTTAAGATGTGACGTCATCTAACTGTCCAACCAAACGGCAGTTAAAATTTCTATTAAAACAAACAAATCAATAGTGATTTAAGTGAAATGAGTTATAAAAGAAAAATATAGGTTTTCAGCTCTAATCAGCAGAAAGCTTGAACTCATATTCTGCATTTACCCCCTATGTATGCTACTGCCTCAGAGTTGAATAAAATTGTTTGGTTTTAGCCAAATAAAATATAAAAAGTGGCATCCCATAGTGAAGGGGAAATATTCAGTTTTGCCTTTACAAGGAAAAGGGGTAAACAATATTATTTCAAATTTCCATTTTCAATCCAGATATTTTTTTTCAAGTGATACCTGTTACCTAAAGTTTAATAAATGGCAATGCACATGATAGTACAGACTTAACTGCTAGTGTAATACATTACCTGGAATCACAAATACTTACCCTAAAGAAAATACTATCTAGAAATGAAGCAGGATTGTCCACTTTCATGAACCTTGGCACAGTAGAGCCCATGACAACCCAACGAGCCACCAGAAGAGCTATCCCTGTTACTGCTAATATCACATGGCGCCAGATCAAGCCACGAACCACACCGTCTGAAAGAATAAATGGGATGAATCCAAATGGCACAACTCTTGAACTCCTCTCACTACTAGAGTATATCCTTTACAGGGACCACAAGATTTTCATGATTACCAACCTCCAATTTTGACCATAATTTTAATTAAGAACACATTTCCTTAATGAAAGTCATGGTAATATAACTTTTTGTGACCTTGATCAAAAACACATATGCTGAACCCTATTAATTTTTTTTAATTTGATAAGTCACTGCAGTCAAATAATTCTTTCTATAGAAACAATACCTTGATCTGAAATTCATTAATATTATACAATGTTGGTGGCATGACTTATACACTGTCATATCAATAATCTCGCTTTCCATTCAAACTTACCCGGAAGATTTCTCCAGAGAGTTACTGCTCGTTGGTTGTGGCCGATGACCAGCAATATAATAGTGCGACCTATCAAACCTCCATGAGCTAATAAAACATCATAGGCACTGCACACTCCCTAGAAAGAGAAACATTGAACATGAAATTGAAATATTAAGATCAAGCATGTTTCATATAATAGACTTATTATGTGTCCTCATAAAAATTTATAAAATCATGCCATTGGCTTTTTGTGATAATCGGTTCCTCAGTGAAGCATTCTCCAAAAGTTACCAGACATTGACAAATCTTTCACAGAATACTGCTATCGTGTAGTAGGTTAATGAATGCCTCACAATACTGATGTATTAATCCCATCACTCTGCAACAATGAGATATACAGTGTGGCACATTAGTCACTTTACCATGAATTTATGTAGCAAAAATATGCCTTTGGTAAAGCAACTTATGCACTACCCTGTATACTTCAAAATATGATTGGTCAACAAGGTGTACTGTACACCCGAAGAGGTTACATCTCCTTTCCTGCCTTTTTCTCCATTCTAATCTATTTTAGATAATTACAAGGCCCACATGTCCATACCAACCCAGTGCATTACATTATTTTTCAATGACTCGGACATTCTGACATCAAGAAAGTATCAGTTGATTATCACAAGGCTTATCAATCTCCTTGGAGGAAACCCATCAACTTACCAATGCAGTAATGCCAACCTCCTTACAGAGCATGGCAGTGGCAGTAGAGGCAGCAGTCATCAGAAGGTAGAGCACACTATGTCCACATCTACCTGTGTTGCTGGAAAAGAAGAGCATTGCTGTAGTTATAACAGGACCTCTGTAAATGAGTTAATAAGCAACAGGATTCCTCTCTGTATTTTTTTTTATGCCAATTAGCCCACCCGGGCACAGGTCGAATGACCCACTAAAGTCCTGTCACCTCTCTTGCTGTTTCACGAACCCCCAATGTTCAGACTAGTGAACCCGAAGCAGTAGACATTGATGCATTATTCTGTCCATAAATGCTTCAGATTCACAAGTCTGTATCTCGGAGTTCGTGGTTCAGGAGGAGAGGCAACACGACTTTTGTGGGTTCCCGTATCTACAGGTATTTTATTAATCACAAGGGAGTTACACCAACCATATTTACCACATTTTACCATAATACATACTGTATATGAAAAAAATACATTCCTTAAAAAGGCATAAAACTCATGTACAGTAAAATACTACACATACCGATAATAGCTCTGTCCCTTGTTGGAGAAGTCATCGGGCATTCCTTTCACAGCTCTGACATAGCTCAAAAGAGCCACAAATACAAAGAGTGCACAAAGAAGGTCAGCTCTACCCACAATCCCTGATACCTAGAGAGAGAGAGAGAGATAAAACTACTATTTATTCACACGTTTTTCTCCATATATGTAATCGTTAGACAAAGGCTATAATATTTTTAAATCGTCAAAGCATAACACAAGTTTGAAAACTAAACCTAACAAACATTAAATCATCACAGAGAATTTCTTTACATAGGCATTTTTTATACAAAAATAAACCAAGAAAGTATGATACACAAGAGAATTAAAGAACTGGAATATGAAATTTTATTCTATGCCCAAGAGAAAGCGTCAAGTAACGTCCTTTATTGTGCAGGGGGGTTACTTGCATCCTCGAGGAAAGTACATTGTCCATTCAGAAAAGTGCAAGGCTACATACACAGCTACTTACCCATTTAAACCAGGTTGTAAGAATCTCACTTCAACACTAGTTCAGTGACTTCTTCAATAGCCAGGGAGTTAGCTGGTACAGCCAAAGAAAAAAGGTTGTGTTACACCCCTCTAGCGCTATGTTCCGAAACCCGTGATGAAGAGTTTAAGTAAAGTGACAGCAAAACTTCAAAGTTCAAGTTTGAATGGGGAACTTTACCAAAATTTTAGTTTGTGGGTTTCAGAACATAAGGCACGGTACATGTAACATGACTTTTTTTTTTACTGTACATTGAGATGAACCCTGAACTAGTTCATTTGACTCAAACTCTTCAGTCACATTTTTTTTCAAAAGACAACTTACCCAAGAGAGGAAAAAGGAGTCCAGGTTACTTGACTCTTCCCCTTCATCATAAGCTGGAATTCAATACTTGATTCCTACATTTTTTTACCTCTGGGTATCATGAAATGACATGCGTTATTTTAAACTACGTACCTAGGGAAGGGGTGAGGGGTGTCATATGCTGAGGATAATGCATTACTGTACAGTATATATATATAAAACAGAAGGTACACTTAATTAGCTATCTGCAGCATATGCTTACAGCCTCGGTGTGTACTGGATGTGTAGCAAAGAGGATGGCAGAGAGGAGAGCAGCTCGAGGAGCCCCATTGCCAAACACCATGTAGAAGACTCGGAGACTCATAATGCTCACAAGACAGTGTAGCACCACATTGACTGCATGATAACTAAATGGCTCCAGTGCACCCCAGGAGTAGTTTAATCTGTGGAGAATGATACAGATATAACTCAATATGTGTTTCCTTGTTATACATCATTTTATGTAGTGCATACCTGTTGATGGATTAGTGGAAAAAAATAGAGAATTCATACATAATTGTTGTCTAATTGAATGAAAAGCCCAATATCTTGATTATCTTTCTTAATATCTACAATATTTGTAATATATACATTATAATTCTTTTCACATACTTTATGAAATCAATATTGGCCAAATCAAACCAAGGGTTCAAGGTAGGTAGGTGTGTGTGTGTGGAAACAAAACTTGAGATACTGAAGTGTACTGGTGGACTGAGGGTAACATGGATGACGTAAGACCCAGGAAACCAAAAATTCCTCAAAACTGATTCGGTCTTGGTCCCAATGGGTCCAGATTTGAGGATCTATACTTTTACATGTATTTTACTTTTATCTTAGTTAACCACTCTAAATACAGAACAGATCTGTATGTTGCTTAAGTTTAATTGACTTTGTAACAGTTTCATAAATTCAGGTTTTTCATTCACAAATTAAAACACGGGACAAAAGAAATTGTAACTTCGCATTTTCTTAAACTGGATCTTTTTATAAATTGAGCACTGTACTGCCTGTAAATATTTATGGAAAGAATGAAGATGCCTTATTATACAGTACTGTATATTCAAAATAGATTCCTGACTGTTAAGTAATTCAGCCAGATTTACAATTACCAAAAACTGAATTTTTCAGGACAACCTTACTGTACTTGCTACCACTAATGCACTTAAAGTACCACATACCTGAATGACAGCACCGTCAGAGGCCTGTAGGACTTGTGACTTGATGGATGAGTGAGCCGTGTTCCCCAAAAGTCATTGTGAAATAGATTGCCAAGAGGAGTCTCCCCTCGTATGTCATTGTTATTGACAATGGCTTCTGAATCATCAAAAACAAATTCTCCAGACAAGGAATTCACAAAACAGATACAAGCACAAATGCCCACCAGGATGGCTGCAGCAGGATATGGGAGCTCTGGGAAAAAATTATAAAATAAAAATAAAAAGTAAAGATCAATTCATTAAAAAGTCTAATATGTACTGTATTATGCACAAAAACCTTCAAACTTCTTAAGAAACGAAGCTAAACAAAAAATTATTCAAAATATAAAAATCAGAATACATACAGTACTTATACTGTACTGTATACTGTACAGTATCAGAAAATTATGAGAAGAGATATAATACTTTGTTATACATACTGTACTCTTAACGTGATTGAGACAAAACACAGTGATCACCCTATACTTAATAATGAAACAATTGGTTAAGAATTCTTAAACTTTGGCCAAATAAAATATTATTCAACTCCTGATCCCCTTTTGCTTTACCTGGTGCAGGAATGTCTTGATCCCATGACTTTGGAGAATATTGTCCAGCTTTAGAGGAAGGAGCACCCTTGTCTGTGCCATTTTTTTCCTGCAGCCTGTGGTGGTCCCCATCCCAGGTGCAGCACCAGCCACCACATACCATGGTGCCTTACCCAGCTGTAAAACACAATATAAAATACAAGAGTTGAAACATCCATTGATAACCGTAATAAATAGAGATATATTCCTAAAACAATAAATTTCTAACATTTGATGAAAGGACACTTTGAAACAAAAAAAAATGGCCTTCATTTTCTCATCTGCATCAATGCACCTATCACCTCAAACTCATCCACTTCACTATGAGGATGCCACTATTCATATTTTATTTGGCTAACGCCAGATGATTTCATTCAGCTCACGGGGGATCTCGTACACAAGTGGTTAACACCGAGAGTGATGGCTCTGCGGGGTGGCTTACCACAAGGGATATTGTTGTTACACATTTGACTTGCTGGTTGCTTTTCTGGCATATCTAAATACAGTTAATCATTTGGATAATACAAAAATTTCTAGAGAGCTCTGTTGAAGCATGGAACTGGATCTAAAGGATGTGGTTGGCTTGTTAACTATTTCGATAAAACAAGCTGAAGTCAGCCAAACAGCTTGAAGCAAATATAATGACCCCTTTTGTTTAGATACAATGGATAATTATATACAGTACAGTAGATGTTTTCCACCCAAAATTTCTAATATACTCTGTACAGTAATGTAAAACTTTTCAGGAATTTTTTTTTTAGTGATAATAAATCATGGTGCTGTACTATATACCAGTATTATTCTTAACCCCTGGGCTTATGGCAGGGTATTAAAGAAAATTACGACTATTTTGTTACAAGCCGGCTGGAGAATGTTTTTGTTTTGGGTGCCAATGACACCATATTTAAAATCACCAAGAAATCTTTTGCCACAGTAATTTCGGAAACATATGTGTTCTGGTTATTCAATTAATCTGTTCACACTGTTGAGAGATTATCTTACACAAAAATATACATGTCAACAAATAAAAAACTAGAGTTGTTATTTCAGGAAGCACAAAAATTTCTGACTGAAAACCATTAGTCGGTGTAATTTTTATGTTTTTAGAGATACATTGTCAGGTAGCTGCTAAAGCTACATCACTCTTTGTCAAGTAGGATAAATCATGAAATTGTGTAATCTAGTTTCAAGACTACTCTCTCACAATATACATAAAGTACAGAGTATTGGGTGTAACAATAATGACATTTCTAATCCAACCAATCACTGACATTACACACACATAATTATCTTTGTGTTCATGAACAACAACATCATTTTCACGTACATTAATATATCTCCAACCCAAACAACGGCACACTGGGCACCAATATTATTTGAAATATGAGTTAATTCCCCCAAATCCCTCAGTAGCATCACCAAACACTCTACCTTCAATATAATTTCTCCACTAGATACTACATATATACAAATACATATTTCCAGTTAATATCCTTTAAAATTATTAGTAGAGTGTAGTGTACCTTGTATCAGCCAGCAGCAGGTAAGAAGAGATGGTCGATGTAGGATAACATCTCCAGACTGCTTAAGAGGAGGGGGTAGAAGGAGAGGCTTTCCTGCTCCCAACTCTGGTCTTTGTTCCTCCTGGTGGTCGACTCCTAACACCGTAATAACAACCCTACGTTATATTACCCTTCTCTTGGTATCTACTTAAGACATATTACTGGTGTAGGTTTAGTATGAAGGCAGTGAAGGGGATGAGAAGGACTTACCCATCACCGGCAGTAGCACTTGTTTACATTTGTCGTCTGTCACTGCAGCGCATTCATCATCTCAGCTGACATGTGGGACACTCCGATTTCTCAGGTATCCCGTAAACCTGTCTTGGCGATTTTTTTTTATACACCAATTCAATTTCTTTCCGATATAACAATTACTCTTCATGCTTAGTAAATCTATGTAATAATTTGATGTGGTAATTTTTCGAATTTTGGTTAGAGTTTTCAATTATAAATTCGGATTTTTCCACTGGGATTTTATTTTTTATAGTGTTGATTTTAATGACAAAAGAGTTTATCAAAATATCATCCTTATTTTTTCTTATTTTTTCGATATAAAATACAATAACTGAAGTGCAAGGAGTAATTTTGCTTATTAAATATTGATAGAAAAACTGAACACACGGCTTCGTAATATATGGACCCGACACCTGATATATACGACCAAGATTTATCGAAAAATATAATAATTACAAATCTTCAAGTGCAGTAAATGGGTCAATAAAACAAAACCATGGATCCTATTGCATATTCTCAGGGTGAAATATCGAAGGGTAATAGATACAGTGAACAATGCAAATATGTGGGGACTACTCTATGTACATTCCATAAAGCTCGCCACATATGACTGACCTTCGCCTGTTGAAATCCCACCAGAATTCCTCCGTTTTTTATGCCGTTTAAGAATTCGTACAAGACAATTGTAGCATAAATAATTCCTGTTTGAATTCTATTTCCGATATTTACTTCTTTACGGTGGATTTTTATTTAAATTATTCAAATACTATTCTGCCACAGAGTGCGAAAAACAAGTGAGTGGAAGCAAGGTTGAGGGCTCACTTAATACGGCTCCTTGTTCATATCACTTTTGTCATTATTTTTCTTTAAGTAATTTGATCTGGTGTAAACTGTTGGCCATTCGGGTATATCCAGTTTACGAGTATGTGAGAAAGGTGGTGAGTGGCAACTGTCGGCGACTACAGGGCAAGGAGTGGTCATTTGCATCTACTTATTCAGTGTTTATGGAGGCAACAATCGGGAGAAGCTCCGTTGTTGTGGAGAGTGTAGGAGATTAATGTAGGAGACCAAACTGTTTAAAGAGATTCAATTTTTCACCTCACACAAACACACATACATAAAAATGAGATTATAATAACAAGGACTAAAAATAGTATCTAATATCTTATCCTTGCGGTACAGTACACTACATTAACCCATCATTATGTTGTCTTATTACACTTGTTTGAATGGCAAACTGAACGCCACTGACCCAGTAACAAACCCACTATCACGTTATCTCATCCATGGCAGTCGTTGTCGAGGGATCGATCTCTCGCTCTCTCTCTACCAATAGTGGTGTCCCACAAGGTTCTGTTCTTTCACCTACTCTCTTCCTTCTTTTTATCAATGATTTACTTCACACTACAACCAATGCTATCCATTCTTACGCTGATGATTTTACTCTTCACTCTTCTTCACATTTTCCCCTTCCTCCTAACTCTCAAACTAGATCTGTTTCTAGAGCTGATATAATTACTTCTATCAGTGCGGATCTGTGTAGCATCTCTGAATGGGGAGGTACAAACTTGTTTAAATTCAATAGTAATAAAATTCAGTCTTTACCAATTACACTTTCTAAATTAGATGATCTCCCACCAATTACATTTCAGGACGCTATCTTTCTGCCAAATTCTGAAATAAATATGCTAGGCCTCACCATTTCCTCCAATATGTCCTGGAAATCACACATCCTTAGTATAACTAAAGCTGCCTCCCGAAAGTTGGGAATGCTGTACAGATGCCGAAGCTACTTCACTCATGAGCAGTTGCTCCAAGTATATAAGGGATTCATTCGTCCTAACTTGCAGTACTGCTCTCATATCTGGGGTGGCTCTTCTGTTCAACTGTCTTATTAATTCTCCTCCTTTAGTCGATAATCTCTCTTCCCTGTCTCTTCGCCGCAATGTTGCTTCACTCTCTCTCTCTTTTACAGGTACTTTAACGGGCAATGTTCGGTGGATTTGGCATCTTGTGTACCGCCGGCAAGGCCGTGGGCTCGTAATACTCGTGGTGCCCATCGTTTCTCTATGTGGATGTCGGTCACACTAGAATAACCCGTTATAGTGCATCCTTCATTCCTAACACAGCCAAACTATGGAACAATTCATCCGCTTGCCAATTTTTATTGAGAAAAACAAAATAAGTTGATTTGAAGTGAAAAGGGTTATACTACGACCACAACCACTACTACTACTACTCATAATAATAATAATAATAATAATAATAATAATAATAATGCCGGTACAATGGATGGTCAACTTACTTGTTTTGAACGCTGTAACACCGAGGAATCTCCACAGGGTCCCCTGAGAGGGGTTAGTTGAGACCACCCAGAGATTCACCGTAGATTGACAAACAGCATAAGCACGAGTAACTGGTCTGGGGGTGCACGCAAGACGAGATGCTTACCATATGTTTGGTGAATGCGCACTGTCTCCTCCCTACATACTGTTGTTTGGTGTAAAAATGATAAATAAGTTTTTGTTAGAGATGTATCGGTGTATGACAGAAGTGCAGTGTTGAGGCAAGTATTACACATGACTACCCCTCCCCCCTGCCTCATCCTCGAAGTACTCACGCACAACTAAAACTTGTGACTTGAGGTAGTGGGTTAGGCGCTCATCGGCTCATGCGTGCACATTTAACAGTTTAATGACGTAATTGCCATCAGGAATGGTCATTTAACAGTTTACTTAATCTGTATTTATATCGCGTATACTGTACACCAGTTTTATCCTTATTTGCGGTCTGTTATTGTGATTTTCTTATTTTCCTCTTAGTCCGTTGACAAATTAAGGATGAAGTGTTAGAGCATGGCACTGTGTAGTTTGCCTGACCACTGTGTATTGAAACCAAGGAATCTACAGTACACTGTATTCTTTTTGATAATGGTATATTTTATTGTTATAATTTTTTAACCTATCCATTGTATTACTGTGAACATACACGTAGGGTCAGAGGGGAGGTATGACAGTACATTTACCCCTCTTTTCAAGACTTTTCTTTTTAAACAACTAACAGAGGCTACATTCCCCTCTAACTTGACCTGGTAAGCGGAGTCAGGGTTGGTCAAAGCTTGAGCTTAAAGTAGCTTACACTTGGTGGCGTCACAGAAGTCGCTAACCGGTAGCTTAAATAAGTACAATGCAGATGTGGATCCAGGAATATCAAGGGGGCGGGGGTGTCCAAGAAGTTGTGGGTTGGGGAACGGCGAGCGCAGTGCGGCCTTGGCACAGCGAGCCCAACCAGCTGGGCGGGGGGTGGGTCATAACCCTTCCCACGATAGGGTTGTCATATCTGAACATTAAAAAAAGAGGACGTTCCCGAAGACATCCCCCCCCCATGCCCAGCACACACTTTGGCGTGGTAACCTTGAAGCAGCCGTGACAATTAATTTTGCATAGCATTATAGTATTGTATATATATATATATATATATATATATATATATATATATATATATATATATAGTATATATATATATATTTTTTAAATCTGAGCAATATAATGGGTATTTGAGGCCATTTTGAAGCCATGCGCACTTAATATTAGGAGATATTCTGAGGTTAATAGTAATTACTTTACTATACAAAACGCCCGAGTACAATACTGCATTACAGAAAAAGTATTGTAATTTTCTGATGAAAAGGGGGTCCGGACCCCCTGGATCCGCCCCTGCAATGTACTGTACTTAATAAGTAAGATATTTTTATTTTTCCTTTTGTGTTATATTGGTACGTGTAGGATATTAATTTAAGTGAGTATGATTAATTTTTAGTGTTATCATTAAGGCTTAAAAACAATAAAAGGTTTAGATTATTTTTTGTTTATTTTTTATGTTTACCGCTGTCGTTGTGGATACCGAAGCTATATCTCCGTATTACAATAGCGATATATTACTATAACACCATTCTCTCTCTACACGATAAAGTTTCATTATTTTAGATACAATTATCATTCTAGTATTAATATATTTCTACTAAGGCGAAGAGGATAAAAGTAATATTATAGATCGCTATTATGTGAGCCGGAATAAATAGGACTATTGAGACGGGGGATAGGAACACAGGAAATGTCAAATGGAATGGCTTCTTAGCATTAGTTTTTCATCAATTACCCTTCATAATGTTGCAGGTAGGTGAATTTAACTAAGCATGACTTGATATAACCCCTGAGAGTAACATATAGAGCTATATAATCAGAGGCCTCGTAATAATCTGAGCCTTCATCAGATACATGACAACTGGTGAATGTAATGTATTTTTTTTACTAATTATAATGTAGTTTATTCCTAACCTCCGTATAGAAAGTCGCTATGAGAAGTATATATATATTTGGTAATTTTCGGGAACTAAAGACAAAAAAGTGTCTAGTGTTTAGGTGGGTTATCTGCAAATAGTATACTGTACAGTGTGTATATTACTGTGTACATTACTCCAGGCCTAAATACAAATTATGTGTAAAGGAGTGTGTTTTAGGACTGTGGTTATATTGGTTTTGACTATTGTATAAAAGGAAAGATGATGTGGTTATTTTGAGTTGTACAAATTAATGATGAAAGGGAAAAAATCCCCTACACCTATGTATATGCATTTGTGTTTTCAGTGAATTTAAATAATCGGTCTCTGAACTATGGCCTATTTTATCATGAACAAACTACTGAGTCTTGCCAATTGAGCCTAAACTCAATATAGTGAGATCAAGTTAACTTACATGGATGCCTGCACCCACTAGGGGTCATAGCTTAAGTTTGAAGAAGACACTGTCACACTGGCTCAGAAATTTGTCAGGGCAAACTCTTTTGGGGTGAGAATTGTGAACTCTTGGAACAATCTGTCAGGGAGTGTTGTGATGGCACCGAATGTGAGCTCTTTCATGACCAGACTTGACTAACACTGGAGCAGGTACAGATACATTATGGAACCAGTACTTGCCAACAGTGCATAACAGAGACATGACCAAATGTCCAAGCAGCTAACAAGGCGATCAGTGGCAAAAAGCATATCGTATAAAGTTAGTGTATAACTTACAGTAATGAAATACAAACAACTTATTCATCATATTTTGTAGAACCCATTTCAAGATGACTTAATGTTCTTATTACTTTAAAATTTTCTTCGTCAGCTTGTAGACTACTATCTGATCACCTTGGGTACTTTAGTGAACAGTTATCACTGAACTACTGAGTTTTTCCAGACTTGAGAATACTGAATATTATTTTTTTGTTTGTTTCTGTTAAATGATACATAATTCAGTGAAGTTTTCATTCGCCAAAGGCATGCTGACAGTGGCTTAAACTCCGTTTCATAAAAGTACTTTAAAAATAATGGATTTAACTGAGCTAAGTATTTGGTAACTGTTTATACCTGTTGTGTGCCTGAACCGGCAACTAAGGACATTTCACCAAAGAAGATAAATCCTCTCATACCTCATGAAGAGGCCAAAAAGTGGATGAGGAAAACATTTCTCATAATAAAATTTATATTAGTTTTTCACCACCTAAACATTCCTCTACAGTTGGGAGATCTGAGCTCCAACGACACCAATGCTCCTTTGTTTAGCCATATCTGGGGTGTAGGTATGTTTCAGTGGATCCTTTCATAGACAGGATTTTTTTTTTTAGAAGATAAGTATTATTTTATTTTAGGTTAGCTTTTGTAAATTAGGATCTTTTTATTTTTGACTTTATTAGGGTGGTGGGTATAGATCAGTAGTTACTAGGACTACCACTGGTAAGGAATCAGCTGCCAGGGTCCAGGAATAACTGTTTATAAATTCATTCTATGAAAGGAACCAATGAACTTGGTCCCTGTGGCTCTAATGATAATGGCTCAGCATAAACTGGGCAATCAAAGACAATCTAGTCTCTCTTGGTAAGTGAAGTGGCTGAGTGTTAGCACCAGTTTGGTGGCCTGCCACTGGATGGTCTTAGTCAGTCAGTGTACTCTATCTCATAAACCAAATATACAGGTATACTGTACAGTACTAAACTTCTGAGAAGCCATATTTTGTGTTTGTTGTAATTTTTGCAAATACTTACTAGCACTGTACTGCACTGCACAAAAATATTGAGTGTTCATATATGTTGTTGATTTTGTATACAGTTTGAGAATGAAGTATCTTCCCGGGGTTTTGACGAATAGATGAACAAGTTTCATTACTCTTCAGCCAAAGCTGAATGTGAAATATGTTTTAACTTGCTTTTATTTGGATTTTTTCCCTAACTAAATATATCCTTTATTTTGCAGATCTCTGAGTGATCAGAGATGTATGATTCATTGGGCCCAAGAGGGGGTGAGATGGATCCCCACAACAAGTGCATGGGGGGACGTATGTGGTGCGTCTCTGACATATGCGGCATTATTTGTGCTGTGATGACATGGTTGCTAGTTACTTATGCTGAGTTTGTGGTGTTTACAGTAATACTGGGCACAGCAAATTACCCCATTTATACAACATTCAACCTTCTTCTTTTCAATGTTTTTGCAGTCCTTGCCCTCTCATCCCATGCGAGGGCCATGTTCACAGATCCGGTAAGCTGAAAGCTGAATTTCTGTCTTTAAGATTTATGAAATTGAAAACATGCTGTAGCTATATCTTAAGTGTCTTTGCTTATTTCTTGCAAAGAAATGGCACATTATTGATATGGATCTTCTAAATATTCTGAAAACCACTTTACCAATTAAGATTAATATTTATTGTTCTCTGCCTTCTTTTACTTATCTTAAAACTTATACCTATAGAGTGGTCTTCATTAACCTGCCTTCAACTACAGGGCAGGGTATTGTTTTTGGTCCTTTCTATCTGTTCCCAAAAAACTAAAGAACAGGTTTGTGGATTTATACCAAACTTGGTAGGCTTGATCAATGTGATAAAGTCCACGTGATAAATTTTTGGTATAAATCATACCCAAATTTACCTAGTGTTGTCATGGTAACTGATTGTACAATGAAAACATAATAATTCAGAGGTTAAAAATTTTTTGGGGGTGGGGAGGTGAAAAAAATAATAGCACGAGACGGTCTCATGCAGGACAGGTCATTGAAACTTGTACCGTATTGTATTAAATTTTCATCTGTTTGCTTAATAATATTTTTGTGACCTACAGATCCTTGTTAGTGAACTGTGAGTTTAGACATCAGAAAGTGCCCCATGGTAGCCTGATTGCTTAATGACAAGATACATTACCTATGTGAACATGGTTTTATGCTGCAAGCTTCCTTCTCACCCAATTAAAGTAAAATCAGTGATGAATTACTGGCTTATTGGTTGTCTCAGGACCAGAGGTGCTTTTGGTCAGTGAATCATTGATTTTCAGCAAAGCTTCACCTGCTTTGAACCCCACAGCCGTAAACAGGTTCACTGATTCTGATCCATGAGTTCCTATTGTTAAACCATGATAGCAACACCTGCCTTCCTGGGCTACAGGTGAACATACAGAAAAGGTAAGTAAGTTTAGCTCTCCCTTATTACATTTTGTACAAGTATTGGTATTCTGTCAAGGCTGGTGCAAGACAATTTATTTAGATTTTAGTGGATGGCTCATTTAACTCTGCCAATTAGCTGCTGATTAATGTGGAAGTTTAATTTTTGTTTGTGCAACCCTAGTGAATTTCTAATGGCAGCCAGGAAGTGGAACAGACTTTTCACTCCAGGTGCTAAGGACATTAGTGATATCCACACACATACCAGTAGCTTGACTTTCAAATTGCAAATTGAAGAAATAAACAGCAAGAGGCTCTTGAGAGTTCTCCATCTACTTTACCCGCATCACTGTACACATCACCAGCTCACCCCGTCACTACTTACCACACAAAATGGTGAGCACAGCCATTACTGATGATTTTTATTTCTTATTCCAATGTCATGGGCATTCATCATCTAAATTCATCGCACACACACACACACCTTGCAGTTAATATGATGATTTTTCGTCACTTTTTGGGGGCTGCTTCCTTCTAAAAAATCATTAGTTTCTGTCATTCTATTACTCATTCTATGCTAGATAAACCTTGCTTTTGGGCTGTGTTTTTGCACATTTAAACTTTATTTGCACAGTAAAAGGGTTATTGGACACTATTAAGGAATGTATATTGTCCATTATAAGAGGTCTGCCTGTAATGTTGGATAATACTCACCTGAAATGTGCAAGCAGATTACTGATAGAGGCTGAGGTTCTGAATTAGTGGGTTAAATTTTTCTTTAATATTCATCAAATTCACTGGCACATTCTGTTGACCTTGATCTTTGACCCAAAGTCATAACAATTATTCTATTTTATTCATCACCTTTTTTCTGCTTTGTATTATTTTAGCAGCACTTAATGGGGTCACACTTTGAGGACATTCTCATATTTTATCTTATCTTTGTTAACATATTGTAGATGGTAAGCCAAGCACCCTGCTTATGTTCACAATTTTTTCTTCCTCATCAAACCACTTTAGCACATCCGCCTTTGAATTAAAGGTTTTCCTCGTTTCAAATGAATCCTACAAATTCTGTCAAACTCAAACCAAAATCTATCAATCAAATCTGAATCCTAACTTATCCCCCTAAAAAATGGGCTCATTGGATTTGGATTGGCCATTTTCATTTCAAATTCAAAATACATGAAACCCTTGCCGAGAGCTAAAGATTCTCAGACCAAAATCCTCACTGGTCCTGAGACAACCAATATATCACAGATTCAATAATTCAACTTGGTGAGAAGGGCTGCTTGCAATATAAAACATTGTCCACGTGGATAATGTGTCATGCAATTAAGCAGTCAAGCTCATGGCTATGGTGGACTTTGCCATGATGCTTTTAGTAATGTTAAATCTCACAGGTGACTCAATTTTTTCCCCTTAACTACAAAATGGGAATTCATGCATCAATCTTTCATTTTTAACAGGGTGCTGTACCTAAAGGTAATGCTACGCGGGAAAATATTCAGCGCATGGGGCTTCGGGAAGGACAGGTTATATTCAAATGCCCAAAATGCTGCAGCATCAAGCCAGAACGTGCCCACCACTGTTCTGTTTGTCAGCGATGTATTCGCAAGATGGATCATCATTGTCCCTGGGTCAACAATTGTGTCGGAGAAAACAACCAGAAATTCTTTGTACTTTTCACAGTAAGTTACACACATGTACAGTACGTATACTGTATTGTACAGTACTAGTTATACATGGGGTACTGTATTCATATTTGGTAGTATTAACTGAATACATTCAAATACAGTTTTGAATTATTAGTACTGTATCTATACAGTATTATGAATCCTTAAGAAAGAAAAGTTGAAGTACTATACAGTGTTACATTTCTAGTTGAATATCATACTGTGACTAAGGAAAATATTCTTATTCACCAATAAATTTCATGAATGCAACACACACAAAATTAATATGGAGTTCCTAATACCTGTAATGGAATTTTATTAATTAATTTATTTTTTATTTTGTTTTTTAACGGGGTAGAGCCCACCCGGGCACAGGTCATCGACCCACAATGGGGCCTAGGGGGCGAAAAAAATAGGAGTAAAAAGAAATTAAAAATTGGAAAAGAAAAAGACCACAAAGTTTTGAACAACACACTGAGAAGTACCTAAGTTTTAAGCTGTCTGTTAAACAGTAATATTTCCTCTGAAAATTTTTTTTTACAGAAATTTGTAATTATTATTTTCAGTACAAACCCATAATAGTATAAATCGCTAGTTCTTCTAAAGAAATCACTCGTGCTCGAAACACTACTAAGTCAAAGATTTGAGAATAAAGAGAATTACTGTACTGTACTTTACTGCAATAATAGATCACAAAAAGTGACAGTTCTATTTCTACCATTCATATACTCTTAAGTTATAATACAGTTCTTCCTAAACCCTGTAGTCCTCCATCATCTTACCCTGTTCAGGATCATAAACATAAAAAAAAATAAAGGTCCTAAGTTGTTTCTTAAGTCTCCACAGAAATCAGCTGCTTCATGGGTGCAGGCAATCGATGGTATAATCTGGGTGCTGTATAGGAAAGGGATCTGGCATACATACAAAATCAACATAAACAAATTTCATGTGTAGTACTGTATTAGCACACCATGTTTGTTTGTGCGTGTTGTGTACTTTTTGTCAATTATTTACGTTATTGAGGTTCCTCACACACTGAGAATCATGAATTACCTGTATTTTTGTTTTGTTTTTATAGTAACAATATGTTTCCTTCCCCAGTTCTACATTGCTCTGCTGAGCCTTCATGGTCTCTTTCTGGGCATTTACCAGTTCATAATCTGTGTCAAGAGTGAGTGGCGTGAGTGCTCCTCATTCTCTCCACCAGCTACAGTTGTGCTGTTGCTGTTCCTTATCTTTGAGAGTTTGCTCTTTGCCATTTTTACGGCAGTAATGTTTTTCACACAAGTCAATGCCATCTGGAATGATGAAACGGTAAGACAAACCCAACAGTTGTGCATTTTAATTTTATTTTTGCTTGTTTGCATCTACTTCTTTTTGTGTTTATTATATGCTTCTCTCCATGTTACCTGTGGTCATGTGTCTGCTGCACATACTGTACATCTATACATTCTTAGATCTCAACTAAATTTTACTTGGTGGTTGATTTTCATGAGATCTATGTAAAGTTTGATATTGGCAGTTGGCATTAATTTTAATGATCTATGGTCTTTTATTAACCAAGATGTCCATATAGACGTAGGGGTGTTGGTTTCTACTCTGTGATTAAAGAATGTCAAGATTTTTAACCCATTTTTCATTGAGCAGCTTACAATAAGGTGATTTATGAATTAGCATAGCCTCACCATTCTCTTGTTAAAATCTTGTTTAGGGGTAAGTAAAGTAGAAAAGTCTGTGATTTGTGTGTAACATTTCTATCACATTGTGCTTATAAAACTGGTATCTTCATTGAAGGTTATTCTAGATAATTTTCAACCCTGATTAAAACAAAGTTTCATGAGGGTTTTAATATAACACCTACCTTGGTTGTAAATTTATTTCAAGGAAGGGATTATATCATATACTGTATTATTTTTATCATCATCACAGGGTATTGAACAGTTGAAGAAGGAACAAGCCAGCTGGGAGAAAAAGTCACGTTGGCGAAGCATCCAGGCAGTATTTGGTCGATTTTCCCTCACATGGTTCAGCCCTTTCACCACACCACCTCTGCCCACAAAAACTCACTCATATATGTATGCAGTATAGCTTCTTCATAGTTGCTATCAAGTCCAGGAGGTTGCAAAGGGTAATTGGTGAGCCAAAATAAGATTCTCAACAAGGCCAGAAGCTCTTTAAGTCTCAAATTGCACATGCTGAAACTTGAAGTACCTGTATTGTGCCAGGTACGGTATGCCCATTAGTACAGTACAGTACATTGATTATCCAGAATATCATTTTATATAATATGCGTAATATTATGAACAGAGGTAGTAAGTATTGTACTCCAGTGATGTGGATGATTAGGGCTCTGGTGAATGTTACACTCATACTGTGTAGTAAAATTCGATGCACGTTAATGCTCATCTTTCTCGTTTTGTCATTCATAAGTAAAAAAAAAAAAGAGTGCTGACCAGGTGAGAAGATTAACCAAAATAGTATTGTGGGACTTGGCTCCTCCACAAACCCTCATAATAAGAGTCTAGTTTCATCCATGTTCAGCTCATGTTGTATATATATATATATACCTTTCACCATTTTGTTTTACCTTGCCCTTACCCATTCCTAATAAATATCTAATTTATAATTTGTATGGTTATTTATAACACCCACTTTGTAAGCTTGTGTAAAAATTCTCATTTGAAGTTTCATTCTTACTGGTGGGTGTTTGTATCAGCCCAGGAGTAATGAAGTGGGTAGCCAACAGTATTGGCTCTAATGTAAGTAGAGAGCATTGTTAAATTATTTTTGTTTGTCTGCTGGTGTTTTGTAACTTGTCTGAGCATTAAAAATGTTAGGTATTCAAACACCGGAACTCTTACATGCATCATCTCAAACACAATCCTCATTCGTTTGAGAGATAAGTTCAAGTGGTGTAATTTTCTACTGGTTGAATAAGTGCTAAATGGTACACTTAATGCCTCACAACTTCTGCTGACTGTCGTGTTATGCATTTCTTTTAAGGTATGGGTAGATTTTGGTTTTGTTTTAAATACCAGAATCTTGAAGGGTTTTAGAGAATATTTTAAACATGTCACCTCACATATAACAGAACACAAAGTTTTCTAAGAACAAATAAAAAATTTATACAGCAAACAATTAAATCAGAATAATGAAAGTAACAGACTATGCTTTGAGTGTACCAGTCTAGTATTGTGTAGTCTATATACCACTTGACTGTCTTGAGTTCTTTGCAATCTCATTCCAAACAGATAGGTGAGCTGGTATTCTTAGTAAAATGTTTGACTAATAAAACATTCCCAGACTACTGTAATTATGTTGGGGTTAAATCTTGGGTAAATCATCATAGGTATGTTAGTGCCTTGAGTATCCATGACTTTAGTCAAAATTATGAATACTCAAGCTATTGCATGTTGATTATCTCAGAATATTTTACCATACTTTATGCAATGCAGGACATGAGATACCCATGTATGCTGTACATTCTTTTAAAATAAGAAACTCACCTATTTGTTGAGAGCATGTGTCCATGGTGGTACAAGTTTTGGTTATAGGGTCTCACATGTAAACTTGTAATGACTACATTGATTTTATTGACTCTTGTGTGATGTTGATGTAATAAGTGCAATGAGCCATTGGAGATTTTTGCTATGTTCATATCATTAATAATGGTTTAAATATTTTTATTTTAGACATAAACATGGCATGAATGTTTCATGGTATGTATATAGAGAATATTGGAAACTTCAGATGAACTTTGAAATGGCTATTTTTTCAACACAGCACAGGCATAATAAAATTTTATTGTTAAAAATGTGGTTAAGAAATTAGTCTAGGTGTTATCATCGTCAGAGTAATCTGTCTTACTGTGCCTTATGATTTGGATCACCCCGACTTTCCTCTCCCTACCCAAATCAAAATTACCGATCATTAGCACCCTGATATATAGAAATGTATTTAGTGCCCAAGGATAGAGCCAACTATAATTCTCATCATACATATGATCAGTTATGATACCAAGACATTGATGATGAATATTGTAAATATGTACACCATAAAAAAAAATCCTAATTAAAACAGATGTCTCGTCATAATTGTCAGTTACTGTATTCCCTTTAAGAAACATATTGGTTGTCCTTGGTCACCCCTAGAAGCACTATAAGAATTTCAAAATAATATTTCTTCTATTGGTCTCCTGTCTCCTGAGCATGGTTCCTTTCTTTGGTCACATTCACCACATAGTCCTGCTGTCTACTCTCCCATACATTCTCAAGCTTAAACACTGCAATTTCCTATCTATTTGTATTATTATTATATTTTTCAACTTAAAATCATGATATCTTGGAGGAACCCATGCTATTTAGGCAGCTATATCTAGTCTCTGACCCACATTAACCCCCTGTTATAGCAGCTGGGGACCTGTCTCAAAGACTTTTTATTCATATCTCAGTCTCAGGTGCTTAGGACTTGGTCTCAGATATTTATTATTAATTTCAAGTCTTATTAGGAGGGAGTCGTGAACTGGTTAAGCTTTGGTTGAGGTAGGAATTACTTCACCTCAGGGCACTACTTAGACTGCTAATCCATTTCCTGGATCTGTGAAAGGTTGACCATAATACATGTAGGGGTTTCCTGAGTCACGGTCAGTTTTCGGGCAAGATGACTGTGATGACTTGAACTTCATCACCAAATATTATGTTTCTTACATGTTGACACTGTGTGGTGCACTTAGTGTAGTGGGCATATTTTTATAACACTTAATATAAAGGTATCCCTGATATACATTGCCCGATAAAAAAAATTCATTTTAATGAAAGTCACATTTTGACACTGAGGACGGGAGGGGGGAGGGTGATGAGGCATAAATAATTCTAAATACAGTAAAGTATTGCAAAGATGATGACACCAAGTTGAATTAAGACTCCGCCTTGGGTCTTACTGTAGTGTCTACCAAATTATCGACTTGCCAGTTGTCTTAAGACGGCGATAGCACATTTTCAGTAAATCAGCCGAAGGCGATGATAGCAGTTTAAGGATTAATGAATATCAATCACATTTTGACACTATATTCTCTTTAAAGAATCTAGACATTTAGCTGTCACCCCAGCCAAGTTGGCCAGGATGTTCAGAGATCCACTTAGGTTCAACTGTATCTGTACAATATACTGTACATCTTTTCCATTTCTTTACTATTAGTTTTATAGAATATATAGTGGGGAACTTAGTGTGAAAATCCCCCCAATATTACACGGGTTCTACCATTTGATATACGATTGCCTTCATCCCTCTGGAGTGTCATTCATATTTTCGTCTAACAAATGGATTTTCAGGAACACAACCCATTGTACATCAGGGAATACCTATACGAGAGATGCCAGGAGCTGTACTGTACTGTATATCCACACGTGCATAATTTTTGTACATGTGAGTGTTGGCAGAGGGTTGCGTGTGAATGACGTCAATTTAACAACTCCTTTCATCCCTTGAATCATTTATCCAAGGGGATAATTACTTTGATATCTAGTCTGCAAGTTCAATTTCCTTGCTTCCTCATGGTCTGCCAGAACTATGTTCAGACTCATTCTCCTGTGTTTTGAAAAGGACAGTAGTAGAATAGTATTTTTGGAGTACCTATCAGGTGCCTTTTTTTTTTTAAGGAAGATTCAGAGGTTGGATTGAACTTGATCTTGGTGGATTCCCTTTTTTTTTCCTCATAATTCAGAGTTAAGACTTGTGGTTTTCTTACTCTATAAAACATATGATTAACATTGGCCCCTCGTAGTTTTCATATGATAAGAATGTCATGTTATATGGTGTGCATCAATTATTTCATAGCTCTGGTTTCAATTTGAATTACGCTTGACGGCTGTTTTAGCTCGAAGTGTAAACATACAGCGAGGGAGGGGAATAGAGATTCAGTGAACTCACTGGCCTTTTGGTGTGCCTGCAGAATCACCCGAAAATGAATATACTGTACATGTACTAATAGTGAGTGATCTTGATTGTGTATGAGTCTGAAAACCAAAGGTGTAGGGTGTGTATGGAAAGAGGGGACTAACAACAACATTGATGGCTCTACACGAAAATCAAAGTTAATGTAATTAAGTACCTCATTTGTTTATGTATTTATTTGCCAATATTATTCATGTTTCATTATTTCCAGATTCATCTTTTATAGTCAATCCTCATTTCTCGTTATAATTTATTGAGACGAAGCTGTAGCTAAGACTTTTAGGATCAAAATGGTGCTAAAAAGGGGAAGATAGGTCAGTTGGAACATGTTATGAATAATACAGTAAACATGTTCGTCTGCACTGACAAAATGCATAGGGAGGGAGCCAGGCTGGGGGCGAGAGAGACCATCGGACTTGAGAGTATTAAACATAAAAACTGCAGGATTTACTAGCTCATAGAAGTACAGGGATCCTTTTGATCCTCTTTAGATGGGCCAGTCTTAGGTCAAGGCAGCTTTTTTAACTGGAGTACTAGAAATTAAAACCTAAAGCTTTGTATCTTGGGATTATGGCAGTTCCCATCTTTCTTTTTGAACAATTACGGAGAGTGCTTCATGTGATGGACCATATTGAGTTAACTTAGTATTTTATAGTCAAAACTTTCAAGTGAATTATTTGGGCTGCACAACATGCTCAGGAATTCAAGGAATTGTACAGTAAATATCCTTTTAAGTGAAGCCCCTTTCTCAATGATACTGCAATGGGAAATTTGTATGCTAGTGACTGTGAGGCAATGAGAAGATAATCTATAAGGAGTTAACCTTATCATTCTTTCTAACTGGATGTCTTGTCACATACCAGATGAAACATTTTATTCTCATCTTCCTCCTAGTACCAGATTGACTTTGTATAACTCAGGTTCCGTCCGGGTGATTTTGCTTATAAACGATGTATTGATCCTGAAAACTGGTACTGGAGACTCAATTACCCTAAATGGCTGGCGCTGATAATGTTGTGGTCACTATTTTGTAATTGGCAGAATGCACACTTCTGGTATGGTATTGACCCAACAGCTCTCTTCTTTAATTAAATGGCAACTCCTATTTCCAGATAAATCTATTTGGGGATCTGGTCATAATGGGAATGAATTATTAGTCTTTTGAGTAGTCCCCAGTCACAAATACTAGGGATTAATCTAGGTCTTAACCCCATACACTTAGATGGCTGAATAACATAGGGTCCCTCCTCTCCAGCTTTTGTTGTAAAATCAGATTCCAGGATAAATCCATAATTTTCTTCCTTTCATACTCTTCACATGTATTCAAACATTTTTACATTCCCACTCATCTGTCTTTCCTTGCTTATACAGTATTCACGATTAAATTTTGAAGCTGTATATTCTAACCATAATTTCCATTTTTTAATTAGTACTTTTTATATATTTAAAAAAATTTTTTTACTTTCAAACATCACTCTTGTAGGTATTTCATTTCACTACTGTATTTACTGTTTCTTGCATTTGTATAGATAATCATTCATTTATTTACCAACTCCCCTCTGTTACAGAATAATGTCTCAGTTGTGTACAGTGGTCCCTCGGTTAACGAGCACAATTCGTTCCAGAAGGTTGCTTGTTAACCGAAAAATTCGTTGACCGAAACCATTGTTTCAATGGGTTTTGGGGTAATTGGTTCCAGCTCACCGAAAATTACATACAAACGAAAAATAAATGCAGTTAAGTACACTACTTTGAGGTTTGCATGTAGAAGGCTCCTGGTTGATGATGATGATGATGATGGGAATTAGAATGGGGGTGGAGGAGAAGGGAGAAGAGAAGGCATTGGGGTGGAAGAGAAGTCACCCCATGCTGCCATTTCACCCATAAAATTTTAGTTCACTTGGTGTAATTCAAGATTATTTTCTGTAAATCAACACTGCACTGCGCTATATATTATCAATATGTAAAATATATTTCAAAATGACCAATAATTTGACGGGAAACACAGAAAAAAGCATTTATGTTGAAGAGTCTCAAACAAGATGTTCCTTTCTCTGAACCTGTAAACAAACTGACGCCAAGCTTGGTGTGTTGAGTGGCTGTTTGGCGCGCATAAAACTAGTTTCCTGTACTTCAATTATGTTCAATAATTGTTAAAATGACTAAAAAATTTAATATAAAACTTTTAAAATTGTTGAATAGTACAACCTTCTTGATATTTACTAAAATGGTAAGGAATTTAAGCCCTAGAACTGATTACTGTATTGGCGGACTAATACGACAGCTAGTGAGCAAGCGAAAACATGTTGAGGGGCGCTCGTAAGGAATTCGTTAATCGAGGGATTGCGTGTTAACCGAAGTGAAGAATCTTATTGAAGGTAATTCGTTAACCGAAATTTCATTAACCGAGGCGCTCGTTAACCGAGGGATCACTGTATATTTTCATGTTCTACAGATATAAAGTACAGGGTGTCCACATTGAAATGAAATAACTTTGAAGCCTTATAATTTTTTATTGAATAATGCAAACTGAGTAATATTCACACAGCCCATAGTCGGTATACTTGAGTTTCATTTGGTGTGTGGGTACAGCACATATCATTCGAGTATATTTCCTGGCCACTGAGATCGCCTGACCTTATCCTACTCGACTTTTTTCTTTGGGGCTATGTGAAGTCCTACCGGTAAGTGTATTCCACAAAGGGGCAGGACATTGTTCAGCTGAAAGAGCGCATCACAGCAGCGGTGGCAGCCTCTGTAACCCCCGAGATGTTAAAAAATGTATAGATGGAAATTGAGTAGGGTATTGTTGTAACTTAGTGCATGCTACGAATGGTGCATACCCTGACAGACCCTAATGTACCCGAATGATATGTGCTGTACTTACACACCAAATGAAACTAAAGCATACTGACTATGGGCTGCGTGAATATTCCTATTTGCTTTATTAAATAAAAAGTTATAAGGCTTCAAAGTTGTTTAATTTCAGTGTGAACACCCTGTATAACTGTTTCAGGCAGGAGTAGGAGTAAGATATAGTATCCAGATATGACACAAGGTGATGTAAGGCTGACTTTAATTTGTGAAAGTATGACAGACCAACATTTGGATTGTAGTCTGGATGTGACCAGAGAATTTA